ATTATTTTTGGCTAAATATGCTTTTAAATAAAGCATATTCTTAAATTTTAACGAGGCAGTTTAAATAATTTTGCAAATGGTACTGTACACTTTTGTCTAGTTCTCGCTCGATGATCGGTGGAGAAATGAGCTCCGCAGACAGATATGATTGAATTTCGAATTATGCTACGGCGCATACTAATAATGGGAAGGGGTATATAACTTCTTAAAACGAACACTAGGCTGTTTAGTATAAAACTTTTTTTTTTGAAGTACGGAACCTTAATTAAAATTAGGTGTTCTGAGGTCTATTTCAATGTTTTTTTTTAATTTTTTTAAATAATTTGTTAGTGATTGATTGAAACTTCCATTCTTTTAGGATACCGTATCCTTTTTAGGACGCTGGCTAATTGCTAAAGCTGTGTACATCCATATTTATTTATGCAAATTTCATGAAATAAGAAAAATGAAATCACGATTATGATTAAATATATTTTTATAACATAAAAATAACTAGTAATTGTAAATTAGTATTAGCATTTTCAAGGTTCTTTGAAAATTGCAGTATCCTTAACCATTGATATCGCTAAGTCTATCATTTGTAGGAAAATCCACACATTCATCCACGGAATTACAAAACAACCTACATAAAAATGCCATTTCGTTCGTTCACAGAATAATTTGCATTCTATTTTTATTTGCTTTTCTTGAAAACTGCAATAACTGTTCGTTCCTAATGGTAAACACGCATTTAAACGAAAACCGTGAAGTTAACAGAACATAATATATACGTGTATAATGGACAAAACGAATTTCGAAAATGCCGAAATTAGTGACTTTTTAGGAGCTAATTTGGTCAAGTTTAGAAATAAAAAAGACCCGTGTGCAGTGTTGGACTTCGTTAGGGGCACTAGGGGTTAGTTCCTAGGGCGGAAATTTCCCAGGGGCGGCTAAATTCGGGATTTTTTTGGGCTATCAAAAATGTTAATAAAGGTGTGTATTTATCTGAAACAGTCGACAGGCCATTCCTCAAATTTTTCGTTATTTTCAAGCTCAAATTACTCGAAAATATAGATTTTTGCATGTGATTAAGCTCTTAGAGCCAAAAATCCGATAATTATTTCAAATTACTGTTTCTCAATATTTGGGCAAAAATATCTTTTAAATACGATCCACGGCGTTTATTAACGTTTGAAACGCACAAACAGATAGCTGAGTACCAAATGCCGATTTTACTAGGAATTCGAATTTCGTTTCAATAGAAAAAAAAAAATTTTTTTCGAAACTTTTCGTCAACAATATTCTCGAACGAATCAACTGGTTTTGATATCAATAACTTCCCAATTTTAAAAAAATCGCGGTTGTGTAGAATACGGATAATGGGGTGGCATTTTTCACAGTGCCCAGGGCGGCACTAAGGGAAAATCCGGCCATGTCCGTGTAGCATGAGCCCTTAATTTTTTAATTCGCACTACATCAGTTTCTGATGAGAACAAACGAGAGGTTGTACCCTCTTGAAATTTTTAAAAGAAACAAATCACTAAATAATGATGTACACCATAATAAACCTGCAGGGTGAAAAGTATGCTATATACCTACTCAGGGTCGCAACAAGGGGGGTCCATGGGTGCCCGGGCACCCACTCGATTCGGTTGGGCACCCAGTCAATTCCAGTCGGTTCAGATAATAACCCAACTTGAAAGTTCGGTTCAAATAGTTCAAGCAGCCGAACTCGATCTTTTCAACTATAAGAAATTCAATATATTGGTGACCTTCTTTTTTTTTGTCATTTATAGTATTATGATGGGAGCACCCAGTCAAACTGTAACGTTGTTGCGCCCCTGTACCCAATTATTGTGACCAAACAATAAGATTAATCAAAGACTTTTTCAAACAAATAAGCGTGTTCTTGTCTTTATACAATATTGTTTGTTACATCTAAACTTAAGTTACTATGGAGGGTGTTTAAAAATAGATAAAGCTTCCGTTCAAAATTGTAGCACTGTTAAATATGGGTCCAATCGAAAAAAGCTATAGGAAAAAGTTACCATATAAATGCCAAAATGTGGGTCCATGCACAAAAATTGGTTCAAACTTAAAATTTAACCAACCCCGAGTTTTGTTCTAACGCTTTATTTTCTTCTTTTCTTTCAGGAATGATAATCTCCCTGCCGTGTCTTTTCATAACGTTCCTGGTGTATTTTTTGGATCCAAACCGCAACTTTCATGGAATGTGTCTCATGTGTTACGTTTCTACCTTGTTCTGTGCCTACGTGTTCTTGATAATTTTACAGTTGCACAGTGATTTCGAGATGTCAGTCTGTACTGCTTTGGGTAAGTTAATTAATAAGCAACAATAACAAGCTTATGTACATAAATAAGTACTCGTCATATTCATATAGGTACAGTCTTCTTCTTCAACAGTAATTTTTTTCTTCATTTTTCGGTTTTGAGTTTAATAAACATCCAGTAAATAATAAAATAAATATACTTCGTTTACTTTCTGTAGCGATGTAACCTTCAGTTTGACGGGCGCAAACTAGAAAAGAACAGTACTAGGTCAGAAAAGGAAGGAGACAACTCTCGGTCAAATTCTTAACCGGTGAGGAGCGAATAATCCGTACAGTACTGCACGGAAAAATTGACCATTTCATCCCTTACAATTGCATTGCTCGAATGTGCTGTTATTGGTAGCATTTACTACTGAAAATGTCAACGAGATGTTTATTTATATTTGAAGACATATTAAAGGCTTTAACGCTTGTTTTCGACTCGCATTACTTTTCATGATTAAACAAAACTTTTGGCAGGTACTGTATGAAAAAGTATGGTAAATGTCTAGATGATGGCCCCCACCCCCGAAGAGGGTGAGGGTGGGTGAGATCGAAAGAGGAGGTCTCCCCCACCACTGTACCATAAAAAGTTCGTGGCGGTGTCACCCCCATAAAAAGTTATGGGGGTTAGATGGGGGTGGGGGTAGGGGGGATCGAAAGAGGGTGGTCACCTGAGTAAAACCCCATAAAAAAATGCGGCAGTCTCACCCTCATAACTTTTAATGGGGGTTGAAAGTTGATTATTTTGACAATTTTTATACATTATAATTCAAATAAAATTCAATAAAAAAATTATTTTCAAGCTGGTGGAGGTGGGGGATCGAAAGAGAGTGGTCACTTAAACAAAACTCGATAACCTACCCTAACCTAACCTAACCTACCCTATTGATAAAGATATTTAAATAATGTTTTATATAACTATCTCAATATTTTTATGTATTTTTCATTAGTTTTACCTTTGAATATTGTTTAAGAATGACTATATAAATATTTACATGCCTAGAAATGTATAAAATTGGCATATTTATTAACTTTGAACCACCATAATTTTTTATGGGGGTGAAACCACCACGAACTTTTTATGGTACAGTGGTGGGGGAGACCTCCTCTTTCGATCCCCCCCACCCCCCGAAGGGGGTGTGGGCCATCATCTAGACCTTTACCAAAAGTATGTTTAATGAACAAGAGTCGAGAGTATAATGAGCTTTTTTCTTCCTTACCTACGATTTTGCCAGCGCGCATCCAAGACATTGGAAGAGGCACATCGCTAGAGAAAGTAAATGAAGTATACTACTCAATAAATCACAATTGGGTTAGTTCATCAGTGATATTTTTATAGTATAATAAGGAACACTTATTGTTACTTTTTTTTATGTTTGTTTTTTTGGTTTTTGTGGGCTGGAAAACAGTCCGATGGTTATTTTGTCGGAATTGCTTGAATCGATTTTAATAGAAATATTCGAATGGAATGTCTTATTTATCTATTGCTTATAGAAGTTCATTCTTGTGTTCGAAACCTACTAAAACTTTATCTAAAGAATTAACTTCAATATCAACATAAGAACATATGGTCGTCTCACGGCTAGAATCCATGGTGGAATTATGATTCGAGCTGAATTACGGCCTAGCATTCCAATTAGACTACAGCTGTTATCATAATTCTATCAACTTCAATGACGTTTTCGTACAAAGTCACATTGGAATATGATAAGACATTTGTATTTTATACTTTTCCAGGGATACTGTGCTACTTCTTTTTCTTGGTATCGTTCTTTTGGTTGAACATCATGTGTATACACATGTGGAGAATTGGGTAAATAAGTATTAATTTTTCTGCTTCATTTTTTTACTTTACACCATATGATTGCATAAATTTTATATTTTTTTCGTGTTATTTCGTCCGTCCGATTCCGATGTGTGTGCGCTCACCATTACAGTACCTATACGAGGACTGTTCAAAAAGTATCGCGAATTTTGAATTTCTGCTGGTTACTTAAATTCGGTTTTCGATATTTCTGTGACGTTATCTTGGTACTCTCGTGGTGTCTCTCACGTATACCGACAAATTCGGCCATGTTGAATGTTCAGTTAATTTTTGACAACTGATTTGCTTGCACTTGATTTGGCTCGTCTTCGATTTTGCCTATTCCAAAAAATGGATCAAAGAATCTGTATCACATTTTGTGCGAGAAACAAAATTAAGTACGTGGACACATTCCGAATATTAATTGTGACATATGGTGAGGTGAAGCTACCTTGGACCGAAGCAACGTATATCGGTGGTACAAAATGTTGTCAGAAGGCCGTGAACAACAAAGAGCGTTCTGGACGTCCGAGCACGTCAACAACTGACGATGATTGATGATTGACCGATCGTCGAATGACCATTAGAGAAGTTGCTGAGGACGTAAACATATCGATTGGCTCTTGCCATTAGATTTTTCACTGATGATTTGGGCATGAAACTGATCACCGCGAAATTCGTACCAAAATTGCTCAATTTCGATCAAAAACACCTTCGCATTAACATTGCTAAGGAGCTGTTGGACTCTGTCCATGACGACCCAAATCTTCTCCAGAGAGTCATAACTAATAGTGATCATGGGTTTTTTAGTTATGACGTGGAAATCAAAGCTCAATCATCCCAACGGAAGCTGCCGCACCATCCAAGACTGAAAAAAGTGTGCCAAGCTAGGTCGAATGTAAAGGTTTTGCAGGGGCATGGTGCATTATGAGTTCTTGCCACAGGGTAGAATAGTCAATAAGGAATATTACCTGCAAATTATCCACAATTTGCGCGAAGCAATCCGCCAGAAACGCCCGGATTTGTGGAAGAACAAAATTGGCTCCATGATAACGGCCCACATCGTTTCTTATGCGGGAATTTTTGGTCAACAACAACACACTAATAGTGCCACAGCCACAGTATTCCTCAGATTTGACCCCGTGTGGCCTTTTCTTATTCCCGAATTTGAAGAGGCCCATGAGAAGACGACGCTACGCTACGATTGAGGAGATAAAGACGACATCGAAGGAGGAGTTGAACAAGGTTGGAAAAAATCGGTTGTCTGTAAAGTCGGTTTACTGACGATAGTTAAACGTGACAACGTCATAAGAAAATACTGATGGAATGGTTTCATTTTTCAAAAGAAAATTTTAATTTTATTCGTTTTATAGATATTTTGTATGGATATAGAGAAGGAGGTAAATGGAAATCACAATTGAATTGATCAAGTTACATTTATTTGTACGCATAAATACAATTATGTCAATTTTTATTTATTCTTTTTCCAATGTACATAGTTTTTACAAGTATGAATGTGCTTTGAGCAATTGTTTTACAACTTTTATTTACAACTTTTAAACATCATTAAAATTTTTGTAACTGTAGCTTCAATTCGACAATATATCACTGAACATATATTAAATATCGAAAGAATCATTACCTTTATCGCCGCAATTATCGTTGCTATAAACAATTGACACCACATTCACTTTTCACTGCACTTCATACTTGACGAAAACATGTAAATGTATTATTGTATAGCAGCTGTCCACGCGGACGCATCGCTCACTCAAGTAGAAGAGAGAGAGATATCGAACACTGCCGAACGCGGAGGCCGATTGTGCCTCTTTGTCGCTCGTTCCGCGCTCTCGCTTGCCCTTCGAGCCTTAAATGGAACGCCTCAGAGCGAGGTAACGCCGCATGAGTCATGTTTTTTCGTGCGTGCAGCCCGGCTCCATCGAATTATAAGACGTTCTCACGTCAAAAACGTTGCCACAAGTGTATAATATCTGGTGGGGATTACTTTAAAGGTGACAAAATAGATATTCAAGAATAAATAAATAATTTTTGAAAAAACCTCGTATGTATCACTACTGACAAAGCGTTTAGTGAATCACCGTAGTCATTATATGTATGATTCTAGTGTGCATATGTGTAGTGAAATTTTGTGCGGCTATCTCCTCTTCTGATACTACTCTCTGGAATCAGTTGACTATTACAAGTCTAATTAAAGAATGGATCTAACTCACCTACTTTTGATATCAAGAATATTATTGTTTAACTGGAATTTTTAATCAAAAATTCGGATTATTTTTACGTATTCAGCGTGCTAAATCAAATTAAATAAAACACGATGAAGATCAGATCGGATACTCTATGTCTTTATTCTTTTCCACATTAAAGGATGTACCATGGGATGTACGTACACTGCAAGTTTATGAAAATTTGAAACACTTGAATCTGTCATCATAACTGAGAAGTTTACGTGCACATATAAACACACCTCATTCCAGATTGCTGTGAATGTACAAATTCACCTAAAACCGATGCGTCCGTTTCCTTATTACACAGCTACAGGTCTAGGGTATAGGGTACAATATCTGTTGTTTTTTATTAGGGGGGGATTATGAAGTAGGGGGGGATTACGAAGTGGGGGGGCTATCAAAAAAATTGTGATGGAGCCCACTATAATGTTGCTACGCCACTGTCTATCATTAGCTCAAGATTTGAACGAATGAAAGTGCGTGTCCGACAATTCTTCTAACTAACGACACTACGGTATGATGATGATGAAATGCATACATACATATGTACGTGTGTGGAAATATAATACGACCAGGAGGTGCGTGCGAGTAGTAGTCGTCTCCCTTAATTTAATTAATTTCACAAAATAGTAATGGACTAGGGCTTTTTTTTTAATTATTTTGTTTACCTTATTTGCCAAACAACTTTGTTTAATTATTTTGTTAATGGGCTCGTAAATACATAAAGGTGGTACCTACCGCAAAAAACGCAATTTATTCTGTTGGTCCGAAACAAACTTTGCAGATAAATTTAGGACACGCCCTTTGTATCCCTTTCTATAAATATAGCTTACTCTGATTTAATCAGTTTAATGTACAATTCTGCTAAAAGAAATGACAGTCCAAGGAAGTACAGGCCTGACGCTGGAAACTGGCGGAAATTTTAAAATGGCGTGGATGCGCGGTGGCAAAAGTAGGCAGTTTTAGATATAAAGATTGCAGCCCTCATTCTTCAGTATTCCTATCAGGGGCGTAGATTAAATATTTAAAAGTAGGGATCATTGAGCAAGTAATAGACATACAAACAGAAGAACTAATTGTTGGTGTTGCTGACAGTGATAGAGATCCCCATGATGACAGTGAATGTGAAAACTAACTATAAAACAAAAGCAATAGGTTAATTTTTTTTTTTTTTGATAAGTCATGTTTTTACATTATTTTCTAGTACGCTTCTGTCCTATCTGTATTAATACCATAATTTACGCCTACTGAAAGCTTATTTGTGTATCGGTTCCAAGTGACTTACCCAAATAAGTCATAAATGGGCAAGTACCTGCGTGACCGCTCGCCAGCTTCCTTCGTCAGACCTGTACATACAGCCCATTTCAATTTGTTTGAATTGTGGCCTTGAAGAAATCTGCGCGACGATAGAAAGAATACACACTACGCATGAGCAAGACAGAAATAGTTGGAACAAGCTTGAACGAGCAGAGCTCTCGATGGGCAGTCTTAGGAGATCGGCTAGAAATGTACAGTACTAGACGAAAATGTTTAGCAATTTCTTAAAACACAAATGTATATAAATTAACAATAGAAAACAAAGCAAAAGTTATAGGTGTGTAGAAGTTAAGTTAATTCACTTGTTATTATTTTTGGCTAAATATGCTTTTAAATAAAGCATATGCTTAAATTTTAACGAGGCAGTTTAAATAATTTTGCAAATGGTACTGTACACTTTTGTCTAGTTCTCGCTCGATGATCGCTGAAGAAATGAGCTACGCAGGCAAATATGATTGAATTTGGAATTATGCTACGGCGCATCCTAATAATCTCCAACTTCTTGAAACGAACAGTACGTACTTGTTACCGCCATTCTTTTAGGATACCGTATCCTTTTTAGGACGCTGGCTAATTGCTAAAGCTGTGTACATGTTTTGAGAGCACATACATGCATATATGCGTGCGTACTCAATGTATGTGTTGTCAAGTCATGGACGATATTTATTTTTTGCATCCATCGCATGCGTGTGTTCTCAACTCGCTCTCCATTTTCAAAAAGGAAAGCCGAAAATCAAAAAAGGCGATAGTGGATTGCACAAATGTACAAAAATTGACGACAATATATATATACTGCGCCTACTTTCCTAAAGGACCTCCGGTTAAAAGAGTCATCGGGACAAATAGACTGATGACATCCACACACTGAGCACGTATTCTTTGGTGGGGATCGAAAACCCACAGGATTCGGCTCGACTCGTGCGCGGTCCTAATTATATTTAGCACTCAAAGCAACCTGTTTTAGGTGAAACGTCGGGAAATAATTTATAAACTAATAATAATAGTACTGCAACCCTAATCTTTAAAAACCCACATAACGCCAATATCATACTTCACAATTATACCTACATTTTTGTAGTCGCCTGTTGGAAATCTCTCTATTTTGTAAACGAGTTGCAAATCTGACAAAACATTGATGAACTGAAGGAAATAGTATTGACCAATCGTCGAATCACCGTTAGAGAAGTTCAGGACGTAATTATATCGATTGGTTCTTGCCATTCGATTTTTGCCAATGATTTGGGCATGAGACAGGTCGCAGCGAAATTCTTACCAAAATTGCTCAATTTCGACCAAAAACAGCATCGCAATGACATTGCTAAGGAGCTTTTGGACCAGAGGATCATAACTGGTGACGAATTATGGGTTTATGGTTATGACATGGAAACCAAAGCTCAATCATTTCAATGGAAGCTGCCGCACCACCCAAGATTAAAAAAAAGCGCGCCAAGTTAGGTCGAATGTGAAGGGCGTGGTGCATCATGAGTTCTTGCCACAGGGTAAAACGGTCAATAAGGAATATTACCTGCAAATTATACACAATTTGCGTGAAGCAATCCGTCAGAAACTTCCGGATTTGTGGAAGAACAAAATTGGCTTTTACTCCATGATAACGACCCACATCGTTTCTTGTGCGCGAATTTTTGGCCAAAAACAACACACTAATAATGCCGCAGCCACCATGTTCCCCTGACTCTACTCCCTGTGACCTTTTCTTATTCCCGAATTTGAAGGAAAGTGAAACATGAGAGGACGACGCTACGTTACGATTGACGGCATCGAAGGAGCTGAACAAGATTACTTTTTTTTTCGAGGATTGGAAAAAACGTTACCACAAGTGTATAATATATGATGGGGATTACTTTGAAGGGGGAGAAAGTATATATTCATGAATAAATAAATAATTTTTAAAAAAAAACACAAAATTCGCGATACTTTTTAAACAGACCTCGCATATCGAAATTTCAATAAGCCAAGGAAATTCTGGAACGAGAGTGAAATTCGCTTTAAAAATGATAACTTTCTTGGTGTTTTTTCTTTTCAACCTACCGAGAACTATAGACTACCTACCATGTTCTATGTACTAATACGTACCTATTCTTCGACCGCGAGTTCAAATCTAGCACTAAAAAAACACTAGCAAATTAAAAAATCACTAAAAAAATTCAATTCTAATGCCAGATTCGAACTTATAGTCGAAAATTACTTTGGAAATTATATCTCCGGTCTCACATTAGTAACTTCATACGTGTTAAGCGGTGCTACATGTGTTTTTATTTTCAGAGGCCAACAAAATTTTTCACGAAGTAAGAAAGCCAATAGAAACCGTTTTCTCGCGTACAGCGCTTACGCGTGGGGAGTACCCCTTATAATGACTGGAATTGTTGTTGCTTTAAGATTTTCATTTCCGGAAGAAAGTAACTGGTTACCTTCGATTGGAATACGACAGTGTTGGTTTAATGGTGAGCTATCTGATTTATGTGTAGATTTCTTTTTCTTAGACACCTACAGTATTATTTAATTGCATATCATTTTACAAGAAGGTCGTTAAGATTCTACTTAACATGAAGATTAGTTGTTCTAACAATTAAAATAAAGAATGCCAAGTGCGAGTTTGACTTGCACGACCTGGGTTCCGTACCTTACCAAATATATATGTACCTACAGTCCATTTCAATATGTTAGAATTGTGACCTTGAAAAAATCTGCGCTAAGATAGAAAGAATACACACTAGGCGTGAGCAAGACAGAAATAGTTGGAACAAGCTTGAACGAGCAGAGCTCTCGATGGGCTGTCTTAGGAGATCGGGTAGAACTGTACAGTACTAGACGAAAATGTTTAACAATTTCTTAAAACAAAAATGTATCTACATAAATTAACAATAGAAAACAAAGCAAAAGTTATAGGTGTGTAGAAGTTAAGTTAATTCACTTGTTATTATTTTTGGCTAAATATGCTTTTAAATAAAGCATATTCTTAAATTTTAACGAGGCAGTTTAAATAATTTTGCAAATGGTACTGTACACTTTTGTCTAGTTCTCGCTCGATGATCGGTGGAGAAATGAGCTCCGCAGACAGATATGATTGAATTTCGAATTATGCTACGGCGCATACTAATAATGGGAAGGGGTATATAACTTCTTAAAACGAACACTAGGCTGTTTAGTATAAAACTTTTTTTTTTGAAGTACGGAACCTTAATTAAAATTAGGTGTTCTGAGGTCTATTTCAATGTTTTTTTTTAATTTTTTTAAATAATTTGTTAGTGATTGATTGAAACTTCATTAAAAGAATTTAATTTACAAATTAATTACATTCACACTCCATTCAACATTTCTAACTATAAATCTAAGCATTCAAAAGTCAATTTTTCACTTCAATATAAAATGTGTCAATCGTTGCAACAGCGCACTCTCCAACATGTCTGTAACAAACTTCATTAATAGTATGCGTAGGTAAATGTATAGTATTATTTTCTTGTATATGTATGCGATGTTGCCACGTATCTATACTTTTTATTGTAGAGAAATGAAAATTATCATTTTTCGTATTGCTTTGTTTCTCACGAACGGGACACAAAAAAAATCTGTAACTATGTATAATGCTTGAAAAGCATTTTCAACATAGTATAAATAGTTTTTTTTGCCGCAAAACTATTTTTATCAACAAAAAATTCGATATAATACATAATTTTGATTGCGCGTCCATAAGAGCCAATGTTACAAAAGCAAATTTTGAACTTCGATTTCTCGGAAAATACACGGACAACATCAGTTTCCTTGCAAATACAGGTGTATCTAAGACTTATAATTAACATACTGAAATTTTATAATTATAGGACTTTTTTACGTAAACAACCTCCTTAATACAAAGCCAAAACTATAATAAAAGAGACAATGCGTTATACTACTATGTACAAATAAATTAAACCGTATATCTTATTAGTTCCCAAATGACCTATCTTATATAATTGAAAAAACATTTAACTATTATACCTTTAGAATTAACAGCTAAGTTATTAAAGTAAATGATTTATTAATTAAAGTGTCCCCTAAAAAATTGTAAGTCGTGAAAACTTAAAAAGTAATTTACTGTTTTAAAGATGATCTTCAATCTCTAATCTACTTTTATGGGCCCGTAACTGTGTTGATAACCATAAATATCACCTTATTCGCCATCACAGCAATCAAAATATTGAAAGCCAAAAAGGATACCGCTATACTAAGAAAAGATGAGAAAGAAAGGTAAGATTTTTGTAATAATATTGGTAAAATGTAAGACCTGAATGTGTTTTGAAACTTTTAAAATTTATAGTGACCGATTGTAATTAATCATTTAGCCCATCGAATGAAGAAAATACTTATTTAGCAGGTTTAGGATTTTTTTATTTTAATTTTTTTTTCTAATCGTTAATTTTGTTATTTTTTTTATCTTAGGAAAACACTTTTACAAAGATTTCTTCACAGAGGACCAATCAAACGATCTATACAAGTTGAAGGGTATAATTATTTAACTATTATCGAAAAAACTGTGTTCGTCTTTTCAGATGTAGATGTGGGAGCTTAAATGAATGTGGGAGCTTCCTGTGTTTGTCTTGATGCAATTTGTGAACTTTAGTACCACAAAATTGTTGTTTTTAAGCCAGTGCAGGCTCTCTTAGGAAATGGTAATTGTGTAGTGGAAGGGGGGAGGGCGTTGGAGAGGATAGAAATGACTTTGTAAAACACTAAGAAAGAGATTTTAAAGGGGACCAACGGGTTATGTATCTTACAGTAGGTTAGGATTGAATTAGGTTACTTTAATTTCTTTCCAAGTTTTCTATTTTTGAATTCTACACCCTTAAAGAGAAAATAACATAACTTAGTTTAAGATATGATCATCATAAGGTCGGCAGTACTAGTTGAACACGCACCTCCACCTTTTCCTATCCTGACCTAATCTTCGCCTTTCCCCAAAACTAGAATATTCCACATCCGTAACTATTTGTGAACAGTAATCTAATATAGGTCAACCTCTACTTCTCTTAATTGCTATTTCTGCCTAATATGTCTTCATGCCTGAAAAAGTATCCTATCAACCTATCTCGCCTATTTCTCGTTGACTTTTATAAGGACCTCTGTTATCCTCTTCTTTCTAATACATCTTCATTTCTAACCTTCTCTATCTATGGTATCTTCATCATTCGCCTGTAACACCACATTTTGAATGCTTCTAACCTTATCTTTGCCGCCGCGCCCACCGTCTATATTTACAGTGCCGCGCTCCAGACATATACCTATAATATATTTTTTTTCGAATTTCTAAATTAACCGTTCCAAGGCATAGACATGACTTATTTTTGTTAAAGGCGACTCAACCCTGCGCTATCTTGTTTTTATTTATTTTATTTTTATCTAAACCTACGAGTCCTATGTACAGGTTCTTTCCTTTCTCTTTATTGTTACCCATAAAGCTAGTTAGGATTTTTAAGATAGTAAAAAATTTTTGGAATGATATTCGTCTGCAATCCTACAAGTCAAAAGTTTTTTATTGACAATCCCATCTTCAGGTCATTTACCAAATATTTACATAATATCTATAATTTCAATATTAAATATAAGTAATTTCCGCAAAACAATTATCTAGCCTTTTCATGTAAATTGTGTACGTAATATTGTTTCTATTTGTGTTTATATACGTCAATCATTGAGATGAAACATATTGTTGAGTTTGTCCCATCATTGCAACTAAATCATCAACAATATTATTTATTGTTTTTCCTTTAATCGTTTTTTAAAGGTTCAATCTATACAGCAAACTTGTCCTTGCAATGGGAGTAAACTGGGCAATGGAGGTAATTTCTTTTTATTTCCGGTTTGTGGACCACATGTCACCCAAGTGGATATGGTACTTCACAGACTTTTGTAACGCATGTTATGGTGTCTTTATCTTTTTTGTGTATGCCTTCAAAAAAGTATGGACTATATGTAAAGTAAGGTATGTAAGAGATGTGATTTATTTGAAATCCTTACATTTAAAATGCAAATACAAAATAAAAAATACCTATTTTTATGTTGCATTTAAAAACTTTTGTGAGAAAAGCATTTTGTATTTTATTTAAAATACTTTTTCAAACGTATTTTCTATTTGTAAAATGCAAAATACAATTTTGCCGTTAAAAGTTTTGCTAGTATCACCGATCAAACATTATCTATATAAAATGATAAATGAAAGTTGCTCGCATTGGCCATTAGAAGCTTAAAAAGGGTACAAAGAGACATTCCATGAGTACATTCTAATTCTTTAACTGAAAGATCCCAAAAAATTCTAAACTTCTTGGAAATGGATAATCTAAAATATTGGATAGATATTGTTTTCCGGGTTCAGTACCATGGTCCATGGAATTTTGAAGTTCTTAATTGATATCAGCACCTACCAAATCACCACTTACTTACCTTTAGCAAGAAACTACGAAATTTTATTAATTACGATAAAACAACCCGCAAAACATTGATATACGCCAGCTGTGTAAAACTGAAAACTACAAGATATGCTAATAAATGCGTATAACCGAAAATTCTTAGAAAACAATTCGAAAAACCTCACTTATTAGATAAACTCAAAGCTAAAAAGAAAAGATCAGAAACAAAATGGGGTTGTAAATATTTTGATATAATACGATTGATGTTGATTTTACATCAATAAAATTATTTGCAACCCTATTTTGGCTCTGATCTTTCACTCTAAACTATTTTGGCATCAGTGTCTTTTTTTCAATTAAAACGGGTGACCATGGCAATTAAGGAAGCATACAGAAAAAATATTTATTGCTGAATTGAAGAAACTATAACTTAAAGATAGAAAAACTATATCTCAATCACTTAAAACAGAATAATATTAATCATACTTAATCTTCGCAGCTGGTGATATAGTGCAATAACCACCATTGGTNGTCTGGAAAAACTCCAATATTAAATATCTTATACTTAAGTAAATGTAGAAAATTAAATAGGTACTACAAAAAAGTATTTTGAAAATACGTATTTGCATTTAGCATTTAAAATACAAAAAGGAAATCTATTTTATATTTTACAATTGAAATAACAAATCAAAAAAGTATTTGCATTTTGTATTTAAATACTAATTCATTTTTTTTTTATCAACGCGTTTGAATAAATACAATTAAGTCATGATCTTTTCAGATATTACAAGATGACTGGAAAGCCATACGAAGAAAAAACAGTTACACAAAGTACTCCTCGAACTGTAACGTCAAATGTAAGCTATGCTACTTCCAACAATGCCGAATCAACGGCTATGATTTCCTAAATAGGTAAGGAACAACTAAATTGCAATTGTATTTAACTATAGAAAAATCATAATGTGTAGTGAGTAATTTGGAATTTAACTATCTCTAACAATTGGTAACTTTAGGCGTGTCGACAACGACACTTTCATCATTAATTTCCGTCTAAATAGGTGTGACAAACCGACCCAAAGACGGTGAATAACTGGTCCTATTTCAGTACAGTAAAAGTTTCTTATTCACTGTTTCCTAATTCGCGTTTTCATTATTCGCGGGTGAATCCTGTATTCGCGTCTAAAAATTTCATTATTCGCGGATGCAATCGGTAAACAGAAAAGGATTAGGTGTCATTTATTAGGGGGATTAACCGTAATAGACCGCTCGTGCCTGGTGCGGATTTTTCCGAAAACGTAGGTTTCTATTCGAAACATTGTGATTTAACGTTGCGTCATTTTTTTTTTGGTAACGAACAAAGGTTCACACTAACTCGGTACGTTTTTGGTTTTCAGTAATATGGTCATTAAGTGCTTAAAGTTGATGCTTCTTGTAGGACACGTATTTTCATTAGAAATTAAAAAAATTAAAAATGGCTTTCGACAGGCTTTAGAACAAAGCTTTATAGTGTCCGACCGAAACTGGTTTTTACGACCGAAACCGAAACCGAATTTCGGCAACGATCTCAGTTTCGGCCGAAACCGAAACCGAAACTTCCTTATAAGGATCATGTTTTGAGAGTAAAATAAAGAAAACGTTATTATAATCAGTCAGTTTTATTTTTTTATCTTCAAATCACATAGCTCTGCAGTCTTCGACATTTTCACTTATTGATAATCAAATCAAAATCAACATAACAACCCCTCATTTAAGGAAATACTTAAAAATACTTAAAATAGGTGAGATGTTTATTTGAGTAAGTGCAGTATACTTCGCTTGGATGGAATTTAACGCGCCGAACATGACCGAAACAGAGCGCAAAAACTCCCGAACGCAGTTTCGGTTTCGGTCGTAGTTTCGACAGGTTTGCCGCCGAAACCGAAACTAAACCGAAACTCGTTTTTTTGCCGAAACTCGACCGAAACCGAAACCGAAACAGAACTTTCGGTCGGACACTAAAGCTTTATCTATCTTACTACAAAATTTGAAACCTCTTCCAAACATTAAACACATGATATCTAAAACCGATAAGCATGTTTTTACTCTACGGCGCATGTACTACTGAATCCCCTTAATGTATCGGCATCTTTTGAGTATGTACTGTTGGTACGTGCCGAGACGACTTTTATAAAAGATGTAACCGAGTGGACTAATTCAAAATTCAAAACAGGAAAAAATCACTAAATTTTTTAAATCCTTGTCTAAAGCTGATTATAACGATTAATTTTAATTGCGAATTTCTCAATAAATTGATTTTATTGTGATACATATTGGTTTTATTTTGGAACCTTAGAACGTATCCCCTATGATTCCATACTAATTACCATTCCATATCCACGGTTTCTGTATTCGCGGCATATTTATGGAACGTATACCCCGCAAATGAAGAGCTTTTACTGTAGTTACAATTGCCAATTCTGGTCCTCACGATATTGCTAGACTCATTGGTAAACCGTAGGTCACCATCACACGACACAAAACACAAAACGTATTAAAGTTGTATTTTTTAAAATGGAATGCCCTATAAATATTTTTAAATTTTTGAATTCTATAATCAAAGTAACAACGAAATTTATTAAGGCTTACCTCACCGTTGAAATATTTTGATTTTTAACTTAACTTTTAAATTCTCAACATTCCCGCTTTTAAAACCAAATTTAAATTAAAGCCTGCTACTTTGTTAAGTTTTGTATAGCAATTGTGAAAAATTGACTAATGTATACAGGGTGTCCAAAACTTATGATTAAATAAATACAAGTTTTAAACGGCAATAACTTGTTCACTTTAAATATTTCATTTCAACAGCAGTTGTAGAATTTAATTCGCTATCGAATAATATTATACCTTCCTATACGTAACTGTTGACGTGTTCATTTAAAGCACACATTTTCAGAACGGAAAGCGATCATAACAAATTTAATATTTATCAGTCAGTTATAACAATCTGACAGGCCAAAAATACATAAAAAAACGAAATGTGTGCTGATACACACAGTAGAAGTGAAACTTCAGTGAACAAGTGGAAAAACGAATCACAACAACATGTTTACTTCAAGTTTGGTGCCCAGCCACGTGGAGAGCAGAGGTAAGAAAACAATAGCTGAGCACAGCACACGCCGCTGGGACTCTAGCGGACTCTCCGCTCTCCACGCGGCTGCGCATTATATCCATCTAATATAGCCGTTGCCCTCTCTCCGCCGCCGCCAGCCTTTCTCTCCCTCCGCCGCTGCCGCCTCTCAATTACAATTATACAATTTACAATAAGAAAAGTAGTGAGTTTATATTAACTTTTCTGGTACCTACTGTCTGCACTTCTTAACTGAATACTACTGTGTGAATTATTGTCTTGACGCAGTGACAGCTACTGATGGTAGTTGGAGATGTCTAATAAACAATTCTTTCTAACCCCGTAACAATGAATTCGGAACAGTTAAGTCGGGCGATTATGAAACGTTTTGTGTTTTTTTGGACACCCTGCACATAATGAAAATAATTTTAGAATGCACCACGTATGAATCCCTATCTACCCCCACAACAAAACTTTTTACATATCTAGTAACAACCCTGTATAAACCTTTATAAATGCCTTTAACCTATTGATTTGAAATTACAACAATAATACATAACATACGTTTATCTAAATTACTAATCAATAGGGATATTAAGTATAATACTCATCAGTATATTACGATTTGACTAAACGTGTAGTTAGCCAGGACGCGATTTTGTAGATTGCCTAGTCGTACTTGAGAATGATTAATTTTGCAAATTTATAATAGTGGAAATTATAATGCAATTTTTACTTTTAGCAATGAATCTCGTCAATGTCTGGGTTTTGTGAAACTTCATTTTTCTTAGAAGATGTGACCAGTTCAGGTTTCGAAGACAACTTATATCAAATGAAACTATCGTCAACTATACTCCAACCATTAAAGAAATGTTTAACACATACAGTAGCTATTAAATTTTAGGATGAATTACACTTTTTATTCCATATCTACGAAAGCATTTCTTTGAACATGACTTAAAAAAACGCTAATTATTTATTGTCATTTATCGTAGCTACAATTAATTATTGTCGAAAATGTTAAAGAAATCCATACATAAGTAAAGAAGTCGATAACGTAATGTTTATTTTTTTTTTCAATTCATCTTTTCTTTTTTAAAAATGCTCTCTTCCTGAAAATTCATCAAATTGTCCCATTATTTTAAAGAACACATTTGTAAACACTTAAAGTAGATGTCTAGTTGTTTAACAAGCACATCGAAATTTTTACTATAAATTGTACGACCACGTTTAATGTGCCATAGTCAAATAAATAAATATGTGTGCATGTATGTACTTAAACCGTATGGTTCAAATGTAAATAAATGTTTGTTTTTATTTAACTCTTATTACGTAAGACCATAAAAGTAGTATTAATAAATATATTACTATTAGAACTATTTTGAGCTTTATTAATTAGGATGTATTCTATTGATATCTTATATAATACAGTATGTGCGCTTTTTAAATTTTATGTACTTGTTATATTATTTTTCAATAAAATATTACACTAATTAGTTATAAACGAATATTTTAATTTCAACTTAATTTATTTTAAATAATTAAGTGATTATATCAATCACAAACAACAAAACGTCTAGATCTCCTAGAACAATTGGAAATAAAAAGATCATTAAATCTAAACGCACATAACTAATGGACAACAATTTTCTATAACATGTCTACTAAAATAAATTTATCAACTTGGGGACTGAAACTTCGAAGCCGCTGACGGAAGTATTTTCGAAGAATAACAAATTATTGATCAACAGTCAACCGAAACCACCAAATGTGGAAAGCAAATTCAAACAAAACCTACTTTTTTAACGGCTGATCTCAGGAAGTTTCAATAAACCACCGAAAAAAATAACTGTTGAACGGTTCATTCCTGCCAGCCACTAAAGTCCCTACTAAGCCCATGTTACACGGCGCGTAGATTGCCAAACCACGCTCCGTGTAAAGAAGTCGGCGCAGCCTGGAGAATACAAGCGCGGGCAGACTACCAATCTACGTTCATCTAAAAGGGTTCGGCGTAGACTAGAGCAGACAGGCGCGTATTAGAACGTGGGGGTGCAGACGCGTCTTAAGCCCCTGTTACACGGCGCGTGGATTGCTAAACCACGCTCCGTGTAAAGAAGTCGGCGCAGCCTAGAGCAGAGCGGTTTGTTTGACTTCTTTTGCACGGTCGCGGTGGGTGTGTGAAATGCCGATCCACGCGCCATGTGACATGGCCTTTATACAGTCGACAGACCACCAATATACGTTCTTTTAAACGGGTTTGGCGCAATCTAGAGCGGGCAGGTGCTTCACGCGCCGTATAACTTGACCTTTACACAGCGGGCAGACTACCAATCTACATTTCTTTAAACGGGTTCGGAGCAGCCTACAGCAGGCATGCAACGTGGGGGGACCGACCCGTCTTAATCCCCTGTTACACGGCGCGTGGATAGCTAAACCACGCTCCGTGTAACAAAGCCGGCGCAGCCTGGAGCCGACAAGCGTGTCTTGGCGGTTTCTTTGACTCCCTTGCAAAGCCGCGGCGGGTGCGTGATATTCCGATCCCCGCTCCACGCGCCATGTAATTTGGCCTTTACACAGCGGACGGACTAGCAATCTACGTTCCTTTAAACGGGTTCGGCGCAGCCTAGAGGGGGCGGGCGCGTCTAAGAATGTGAGGAGGCAGACGCGTCTTAAGCTCTTGTTACACGGCGCGTGGATTGTTAAACCGCGCTCCGTGTAACAAAGTCGGCGCATACTAGAACGGACAAGCGCGTCCTGGCGGTTTCATTAATTTCTTTGCACGGCCGCGGCGGGTGCGTGAATTGCTTCACGCGCCGTGTAACATGACATTTACACAGCGGACAGACCACCAATCTACGTTCCTTTAAATATGTTCGCCGCAGCCTAGAGGGGGCGGGCGCGTCTAAGAATGTGAGGAGGCAGACGCGTCTTAAGCTCTTGTTACACGGCGCGTGGATTGTTAAACCGCGCTCCGTGTAACAAAGTCGGCGCATACTAGAACGGACAAGCGCGTCCTGGCGGTTTCATTAATTTCTTTGCACGGCCGCGGCGGGTGCGTGAATTGCTTCACGCGCCGTGTAACATGACATTTACACAGCGGACAGACCACCAATCTACGTTCCTTTAAATGTGTTCGCCGCAGCCTAGAGGGGGCGGTCGCCAGACGCGTCTTAAGCTCTTGTTACACGGCGCGTGGATTGTTAAACCGCGCTCCGTGTAACAAAGTCGGCGCATACTGGAACGGACAAGCGCGTCTTGGCGGTTTCATTTATTTCTTTGCACGGCCGCGGCGGATGCGTGAAATGTTCCACGCGCCGTGTAACATGACATTTACACAGCGGACAGACCACCAATCTACGTTCCTTTAAATGGGTTCGCCGCAGTCTAGAGGGGGCAGGCGCGTCTAAGAACGTGAGGGGGCAGACGCGTCTTATGTTCTCGTTACCCGGCGCGTGGAGCGTGCGCAGCATTACTGGCTGGTGGGAATGAAACACCCAAGTTTTTTTTTTTTGGTACCATGAATTATTTCAGGAATTGCAATTCCAAAAAAATAGTTTTACACAAAATAAACGCTAGATATAAAAAGCAGATTAAGAATAAATTAGTTTCGCTATTTTAAGAGTACATAATTCTTGACGATTTTAAATAATGCTGAAACTTTTTATTTTTCATCTGATTTTTAATGTCTAGCGTCTATTTTGTTTAATTGGCAATGTTTAACGGCCCCATCAGACCACATTTTACTGACGTGGCCCATTCAATTAGCCATTTCCTATTTATCGTGCAATTTTGGCCAAACATTAAATTTCCTTAACAGCGTAGTTCTTCAACCTCCTTTTTGATAACTGATCAACTGATTCAAATTTCAATAGGTCCTCGATCACATTGAAAGTTTACACAAACGAAATTTATTAATTGAAAATTTTTACTAGAAAGTAACCATCCCTTTTCTTTCGGAAAACCCCCAGAGAAATATTGATTCTTACACTGCGCTTGCCTTGAACAGCGGACCAGAGAAGTGAAAATGATATTAGGTCATAAAGTAATCGCTACTGTACAAATGGTCCATTTAAACAGCATCCATTTTAAAGATTCATCTCATTCGGGTTTAGTTATTGTGTAGTGAGAAATGGATGCTTGAGATGAAGATTTTTATACTTGTTTCCATTTTTGGAGGAATTAGTTTTGGTATGTATTTGTATGTCTAATTTCGTAGTTTCGATTAGATAAATAATTAATTAAGTAACTTAACCGTTTAAAATCATGTAATGCAATTTTGATAAAACTGAAATGGGCTAAATATACTTAATTTTCAAAAATTTAGATTAAATATGTATCAAAAGAAATAGGGATGAAAAATTACAAGATGTAGACAGGGTAGGTACATTTATTTTTACAAAAGACTATATAAAAAGTGCATGTTCTGGATGAAAACCTTGTTGCTAAACAAAAAGTACCTACTATTATATAAAATATATTAATAAATAGTATTTACTGGGTGCGTGATATTTAGATACCGGATCCATATTTAGTTCTTTTAGTTAGAAAAAGTTATGACTTACAACAGATCAATGTAGGTGTTAAAAGATTTATTTTATCTGTTTATTTTTTAGTTTGGGTAACGGTATATTCAATAACCTTCTAATTACTATTACCTCATATTTTATAGTCGAAGCGGAAATGTAAGTTCCGCGAGCCCTAGATTTGACCAAAGATTAAATTTCAAATAAAGATAAATAAAAACCTACCATTATGTATTAAGAAATTATTATTACTCTGATTAGTCTCTCATCGCATCCCCCACTTATACCAACAAACCGATAGCAATAATGAAATAACACCAATACCAAAACGGATTACTGTTTATTTAATCTTTTTTTAATATCTAACTAATACCATTTAATACCTAACTAAAACTATTTTGACTACTTTCTACATATTAAACAGGAGATTATTTGCCAATAATTCGAGTATATCTTTTGGCAAAAGACTTTCCAACTCCTACCGTAGTGACTGCATTGCTAACAGGGCTATTAACAAACTGTACTTTGTATTTAAATCTGCCAGGAAATTTAAAAATGTAGATATGTTAATGGAAATGTGTGTAATCATTGTCATTGTATACAATTCCTAAAGTATGAAACAAATTATATTAGACACATTTCCTAGGAACTCTAAATAGCAATCGGAAATGTATTACATTCAAGATGTCAATGGTTACGCGGGGCTAGTGGTGCGAGGGGAAGGGATTGCGTCCTTATTTTTCAGTTGAATGGTTCCCTTATACCATTCAGGAATTCAAAAAGATTAAATCCGTTCAGCATAAATTTCTAAGAATGATATCTTTTAGGAATGGTGATGTAATGAATAGATTTACCTAATCACAATTTTTACTTCGATATCGACTACCTTGCGCCTTTCCGTCATTTCTTGGAAGTTCTGTTTATTCCCCAGAACACCTACATTTCGGTATTCGACTGTAACATACAACGTGAATGCAGAAGAGATGCCGCGCTTTTCGAAAAAAATTCATAACTTTTGTAATCAATTAGTTTCGGAATCAAAATAATTCTATACATAGGTTACTTTATGCTTTATTGAAATATAAAAATAAACTTGAACTCTTAATAAATATGAGTATAATAAAAGATAAATTTTTCATATCAAAAGCGGCATCTCTCCTGCAGTGTTGGGAAAAATGCTGCATACAGAAAGTAGTAACTCCGCGATCCTCACCTGTTTGTTAGAGGAGACGCTGCACCTCCCCACCTTACCCACCATCAACATTAAACAATTAGTTGTGAAATGTCTAGACCAGTGATTCCCAACCGGTGGTTCGCGAACCCCCGGGGGTTCGAAGTGTTTGCAGAGGGGGTTCGCGAAAATAATATAGTAATGGCGGATTTTTTAAAATGCCATTAAAATCAAAAACAAAAATATATATTCTATCAAATTTTATTGCTTTTTTTACCTGTCATTACATAGGGGATTCGTCAAATTTTTTCGGACCTTTCTTTTGGTTCGCGAGGAAAAAACCTAAATATACAAGGTCTGTTCAAAAAGTATCGCGAATTTTTAATTTCCGTGGGTTACGTATATTCGATTTTCGATTCTTTTGTGACGTTATGTTGGTACTCATGTCTCTCACTTATATCGACAAGTTCGGTCATGTTAATTGTTCAGTTAATTTTTGATTGGATGTGTTTTGACTCGTCTTAGATTTTTCCCTAATCCAAAAAATTAATCAAAGAATCTGTATCAAATTCTGTGTGAAAAATAAAATTAAGTGCACGGACGCATTCCGAATGTTGACTGTGGCTTATGGTGAATCTAACTTAGACCGAAGCAACGTTTATCGCTGGTACAAAATGTTTTCAGAGGGCCGAGAAGATGTTAACGACGAAGAGCGTGCCGGGCGCTCGAGCACGTCAACAACAGACAAAAACCTTAATGAAGTGAAGAAAATAGTATTAGCCAATCGTCGAATCACCGTTAGAGAAGTTGCTGAGAATCTAAACATATCGATTGGCTCCTGTCATTCGATTTTTACCAATGATTCGGGCATGAGACGGGTCGCCACGAAATTCGTACCAAAATTGCTCAATTTCGACCAAAAACAGCATCGCATTAACATTACTAAGGAGCTGTTGGATTCTGTCCGCAACGACTTAAATTTGCTTCGGAGGGTCATAATTGGTGGCGAATAATGGGTTTATGGTTATGTCGTGAAAACCAAAGCTCAATCATTCCGATGGAAGTTGTCGCACCACCCAAGACCGAAAAAAGTGGCAAATGTGAAGGTTTTGCTTACATTTTTCTTCCGATTACAGGGGCGTGATGCATCATAAGTTTTTGCCACAGAGTACAACGGTCAATAAGGAATATTACCTGCAGGTTATGTGCAAATTGCGCGAAGCGACAGAAACGCCCGGATTTGTGGAAGAACATGGTAACGGCCATGATAACACATTGTTGGTTGTGCGCGAATTTTTGGCCAAAAACAACACATTAATAATGGCACAGCCACCGTATTCCACAGATCTAGCCCCCTGTGACTTTTTCTTGTTTCTGGAACTGAAGAGGCCCATGAAAGGACGACGCTACGCTACGATGGAGGAGATAATGACGCCATCGAAAGATGAGCTGAACAAGATCACAAAAAATGATTTTTTGAAGTGCTTCGAGGATTGGAAAAAACTTTGGCACAAATGTATAATATCTGGTGGGCATTACTTTGAAGGGGGCAAAATAGATATTCATGAATAAATAATTTTTTTAAATAACACAAAATTCGCAATAGTCTTTGAACAGACCTCGTATTGCTAAAACTTTAAGATATTCATAAACTCTACCGGGTTTTGCACAATTGCTTTTGATCGAATATATCGTAAAACTTTTAAAATAGAAATACTGCCTTACTTTTATTAAAGCTAGTCTAAAAGCTGGTAGTTTTATTACCTGGTTGTTTGATCCGCTTTGTTATGGTTATGTGCACAAGTGACTGTGGCGCTGTCTGTGGCCAATTTTCAAACTTCTCAGTGAGAAAAATACGTTTAAGCTAAATTAAATACATTTAAAATAAAATAGTTTTGTTGGAAAAATATCATAATATTTAAACTAGTCAAGGAGGAGTGGTTATATAATAATAATAATAATGAATAAAATTATTCGAACTAGGTTTTTTGAAGATAACTTATTCTATTAAATTTAATCCTCAAACAATTCTGAAAGGTAAAGCTTTGGCCGTTCTTCATGTCATGAGAATTGAAGAATTAGATGGTTGTGACTATTTTGATTAGGTGTAGTGTCATCAGGCAAACTTCAGTTACTTTATCACCTTATAAAGTAGAATTAAAGGCAAGTTAATTCTGATTAAATGTAAATAAGGTTATGATAATATAAGATTAGAAAATTATTCGTCAATCTAATTTCTAATTAGTCTAACATTCATACGAAAATTTATTCATTTTATCAATGTCTAATTTTTTATAGCTCAATAGAGAACTATGTATATTTAAAAATTATATTTGTTTTATTATATTTCCAGATATTATAGTATATACTGTTATATATTGTTTATTTCTTTAATAATATATATTCATAAAATAACGAAATTCTTATACATACTGTTGCCTTCGGACTGCACCTAACGAATTTAGTCGCCTCTGTAATTTGTGTGGAAACAGTGAATTTGCGATTGGAAAACAATAAAATTCGAAACTTGAATTACGCGTTGTATTTGAACAATGAATTACAGAACACGAAAAAAGTGCTTTCTGACATGGTGGCATAGTTTGCAGGATAAAACTTAATAAATTGTATTAAATAATATTTTTTTTTGAGCGTGTATAATTTCTTAAGTAATTGGATTTATTCACTGTAAAGTTTCTAAAATCGACACTTCAGGCGCTGGCGTCAACGTGCACATAGCGAATACCTGGTTGTTTGACCCGCTTTGTTATCTATTAAATGCAGCAAATGCAGCGTCTCTCCTAACGCGGTTAGATTAAAATAAAACTGTACTATCAACTTTAATAAACTTGATTAATAAAGCATTTATTATCTTCGAAATCGTATACTGAACAATACTTTTAGGTTCGATAAATTCTACACTAAAACAATCAACTAGCGGGGAGGATTATTACAATTACGATTACGATCTTCCCCTTAACACATCTTCAGAGGGTGGTAGCTATTCGAAAGCTGACGCTCTAATACTTCCTGTCCCTGAACTACCAGAATCGAAAAATGTGCATACTTTCGAAAATGATGACGACATCCTCCCAGACGATTCGCTCGCCGATTCGGACTTACGAGATCACAATTTCATTGATAACTTGATGTACGTCTATTATGGACCAAAAAACAAAAACAATAACAAATATGGACCCGAAGTAATTGTGATTGGTTCGGTACTTAGTTGCGCTGCTCAACTACTAACGATATTCTGTATACTTTTAAAAAGAAATCAAGGAGGAAGAAAGGAAAATTCGAAGGTTTTTCTTCACCTCATGGGATGCATGTGCATGGCTAACTTGATATTCATGTTGGGAGTTCATGTAAGTTTCAAAATATAGAATGATAACTATAAAAAATGGGGAAACAGCAAATTTGGAATATTACAAATGGTACCTACTAGTGCAATAACCTTACAAAAAATGCGCCAATAAACCGGAGCGATTTCAAAAATCAGAAAACATTCAATATCTATATTCACAACATGTCGGACCAAGCCCACCTCCCCTTTACTTTTTTTAAAATGGCGTTCCCAAATCTACCCGTTTCATTGGTTCACCCACTACATCAAATCTGGTATTTTTAATTTTTTACTGAGCCGTTTATGAGGTTAGTCCAATTAATATTCCAAGTTTTCGATCTGAGAAGCTTTGTAAAAAATCCAGCAAATGAGTTTTGTTTTTTCGATAATAACCTTCCTATACTTTTTTAAAGTGGATTAAATTTGCCACAGTTTGAAACGAAAATGATTTATGTAAGCCTAATAATTTCAACTATCCTACATTCTTGAAAATTATTTTTCTTCATTGTTTAACTGGAGTTAACCAGGCCAATACAGACATACGGGTGACCCCTTACCAGAGGATTTGAAAATTAATATTGATACACATTTCCCAGATATGAGCATCTCGCATTCGCATCTTCTGCATCTAGATCGTCATCATTGGATACTGATATCAACAAAAAAAATATCGAATTCATCATCGGGCAGGATATTTTTTCGGTAAAGTCGAAATCGACTCTCAAATCGAGATCTGGCGCATTTTGCAACCATGTCTGACTTCAGTGGAGACAAAACTTGCAATATTCATTGTACTAACATCATAAGCAACTTAACAAAAAATTAAAACTATCAGATTTTTTGTAAATTATCCCCTTAAAGTGACAAAGTTACTGGACTATCAGCGTTATAGACGTACAGAGAAACAATTTTATACGAACATAAGATTCTCTAAAGCTAGGTTTCCACTTGTCTTCAAGCGAGCAGCTAAAACTGTCATTTAGTCTCATATTGTTCGTAAGAACCCAACTTACTGTTTCGACTGTAAATAGAAATATGAAGTATGATGACGAAGAAAACGAAAAAGAAAGATTGATGATTATTTACATGCGGATGGAATTAGCTAATGGTGTAGTGTCCAAAATTTCATACGAATGTACAGCACCTATATGGAAGTTAAGTTACTTTCAGAATTAAAAAGCAGGACACGAATTACATATACTATTTCATGTTGTATCATCTGTTTCCGCTGCGATAACTACACGCAGTTGTGCTTTAATGTTAGCAATTTTCTTTTGAAATTTGCTGATCGCAATGTAACCGACGCTGGGAAAAGTACAAACCATCATTTGTTATAAAAACATACAGAAAATTTTAGAATAAAATTTTTGGGAACAAGCAATAGTAACATGAAATTTTCACATAGTTTCAACGGTGGAAATATAGCTTTCTATGAAATTAAAATAGTACACTTTCAACAGCATCATAAGGTCGTCAGTCCTAAGACTGGTTGGACACGCACTCCCACTCTTTTCTTTCCTGAGCTAATCTTCGCATTTTCCTAAAACTAGAACATCCTACATCCTTAACTATTTGTGAACAGTAATCTAATCTAGGTCTACCTCTACTCCTCTTAACTCCTGTTTCTGCTTCTAATATGTCTCTTACTAGCCCCTCATGCCTGAGGTTTCCTACCAATCTATCTCGCCTATTTTGTATTGACTTCTATAGAGTCCTCTGTTCTCCTACTCTTCCTAATACCTCCTCATTTCTAACCTTTTCTATCCAGAGTATCCATGGTAACCCTGAAGCCTCATATACTACAACTTTACTTTAGTAAAGATTGCGTGGACTTTAGATATTATTTTTGTGATAAAAAAAAACAACATTTATAATAGGTACCTAACTAAATCCTTACCATAGATTTTAAATAAACACGGTGGAAACTGAGTCACTGTGGCTTGCATTTAATATTTTCAAGATAGAAAATAGATTTAAAAATTCTCTATGTATTTGTTCGCCCTGTAAGTATACATAAACATATATTTTCTTTTATATTCGTCGCCTACACCACTTAATCCATTTCCTGTTGTTTGAGTTACATCTCTGATTATATTTGAATAACTCTTTTGCTTTATACAAACTTCTATTTAAATAAAATAGTAAACATTTATTTACTGTACTACATATATACTGTACGATTTACTGTATCACTATTAATATTCCAGATTAGCGTTTTTCTGAAGATTTATTTTTCTTTTGATTTGTTTCCTTCTACACAGAAATGTTCTTTTAGGCCACAAAAAGTGCCGTGAAGTGTGAAATCGTTGCGGTTTTGTTACATTATTTACATCTAGTTACAGCATTTTGGATTTTCCTTTATTGCCACTACGTATACCAGCAATTTTCGAAACATATTTGCTCTCCTACGAAATGTATGTATTTCCTCGCGTACGGTCTTCCAAGCCTCATATCATTGGTAAGTACTAATTTTACAGTTTTTCATTAAATTAACGAATTATTATTATGTTATTATTAAATTGTGTGTGCCATTTTTCCCAAACGTTGCGAACATGACAGACATCGCGTACTCAACGCTTTGTGTAGTCGCAGCTTTACGTCATACACGACTTTCCTATCACTTTAAACCAGGGGTGAGCAACCTTTTTAATCAATGGGCCAATTTAAATTTTAAAATTTCTTGGCGGGCCGCACATAAAGTAACACTTATTAGTAATTTACAAATTTATAATAAACATTAGAATAAAAAAATATAAAATTTAAAAAATCTACAAACGCGATAAGTTGCACAATAATAAATATTTCCTTCAATTTTAGACATCTCTGGTCATCACTCCAAATAGTTATGAAACGAGGAAGTTTTGCTTTGTGTCTGTCCAAAGGGGTATGCTATTGAATTATATGTTTCCGGTGTCCTGTCTGATAGTAGCAACGACCGTTTACGCCTTGAACGGTATACGCAGGATAAATCTCGAACTTTCGAAACTCGACGTAGCGAGTTCTGCCGAATCGTTAAACATTTTGAAAAACGAAATTCTGAACAACGAGAATGCAAAACACGAATCTCCTGAAATCGACGGAGAGATCGCAAGTCTGAAAGAGTGCAAGACTTGCTTCAAACTCCTGTGCATTCTCCAAACGTGCTATGGGATCGTTTGGTTTTTAGCCGTTACAGCTTTAGAAAATGCATACTCTGGAATTGGCATTTCAGTTTTCTACGCTCTATTTTCATCTGCTTTTGTAAGTATATGCATATCTACGTGTATCTACTTCATCATCATGATAAAGGTCTTTAGTCCAACAATACAAGACATAAGAGGAGTCTTAACTCGTGTTTATGTTTCTAGTATGCCTCTAATTAGCCTACCAACTTATCTCGTCTATTTCCCATTGACTTCCTAATGTCTCCAACTTTCTAACCTTTTCCAACCACGATATTTTTAATAACCTTCGATATCACCACATTTCAAAGTTTCTCTTTCTTTTCTACTACACCTACTATCCATGTGTCACATATATACTGAGCCATGCTCCAAATATACGCTTTTGATAACCTAACCTAACCTTTTCCAATCACAATATTTTTAATAACCTTCGATACCACCACATTTCAAAGTTTCTGTTTCTTGTCCACAACACCTACTGTCCATGTGTCACACACATTCAGAGCCGAGCTCCAAATATACGCTTTTGATAATCTTTTTAACATTTCCAAAGTAGCCCATCTCGGCTGCAAAAGTGATTTCTTTTTGTTAAATGTGACACAACCATGCGCTATTGTGTTTTACATTTCTAGCGCTCTTTTTATTATCTAGCTCCCTAACTACAGTAAAAGTTCCTTATTCACGTTTTCATTATTCGTGGGTGAAAAAATTGCAACCCAGTTCCTGTATTTGCGGCCAAAAATTTCATTATTCGCGGATGCAATCATTAAACAGAAAAGGATTGGCCGCAATAGACCTCTCGTGCCTAGTGTGAATTTTTCCGAATTATAAACATTGCGATTTAACGTTGCGTGATTTTTGTATGGTAATATGGTCATTAAAAGCTTTTAGTGTTTAAAGTTGATCCTTCTTGTAGGACACGTATTTTCAATAAAAATGAAAAAATTAAAAAATGGCCTTCTACAGACATTAGAACAAAGCTTTATCCTTCTTACTACAAAATTTCAACCTCTGTTCCAAATATTAAACTCATGATATCTAGAACCAATGGTCTGAATCCCCTTAATGTATCGGCATCTTTTGAGTACGTACAGTTGGTACGTGCCGAAGCGGCTTTTATAAAAAATCTAACCGAGTAGAAAAGGATTCGGTGTTATTTTTCAACGTATCAACATCTTTTGAGTACTGCTCGTACCCAGGCGATTTTTATAAAAGATACAACCGAGTGGACTAATTTCAAAATTAAATGTAAGAAAAAATCACTAAATTTTTTAAACTCTTGCCTAATGCTGATTATAAAGATTAATTTTAATTGCAAATTTATCAATACATTGATTTTATTTTGATACATATTGGTTTTATTTTGGAACCTTAGAACGTATCCCCTATGATTCCATACTAATTACCATTATATCCACGGTTTCTGTATTCGCGGCATATTTATGGCCGTATACCCCGCGAATAGCTTTTACTGTATTGAAACTCGGCATCTTCTTGTAGTTTTTCGTCTCCTATTATTTTGGGGGTTATTCCAAGCATATTTCTACGAAGGATGGACACATGAGTTGGAACAAGAGGAGTGGCGGACAGAGACGAAATATACAAAAATTATCGTAAAAAAGTCATTCGTTATATAAAAAATTAAGAGCAAATCAAAGGAATTTTCAAGTATCAAATTTCCTGATCTTTCCATTGCTGATGTAAAAAATATGCATTCACATTAAAAAAAATGGCTCGACTTTGAAACTATCTCAAAGATTAAAGTCAAAGTCACATTCAAAGCTACCAACTTATTTTCCCTTCGAACCCATACATCCATTGTCTAAAACTTTTTCCGAGATAATGAGAGTCAACCAAGATATTTAATTTTTTTTGCAACATCTTTTATGGACTGCACCGCTGTCAGCCACCCCCTTATGTTACGCTCCCGCATTTATATAAATTTTAGAAAGCTGGTTTGTATCCGGAAACTTCGTTATCTGGATATAGTATTTGTGTATCCAAACGCTGTATTCTTAAAGTATCCATGTCTGGTACTTTTTATCCGGAAAAATTAAGGGGGAAGAAGGTACATGAAAAAAAACATTAAACGAGCCATCTCGCACCACTACGTACGAATACATTGTTTTTTGTTTAATATTTTCACACCCAATTTATTTTTGTATTTTGTGGAAATAACCGTGACTTTGCCGATAGAATAGTAATTACAGAGTGCACAGGCTACTACTAATCGTCACACGTGCAATTCATTTGTCTGTGTGGCAGCTGTTGCCAAGGTCACGAATAGGTATGAGTGTTCCATCACTTGAATGCATGTTATTTAACTTGTTACATAATTGCTTTTTCTACAACGCGCTACATTTCATTTCGTCCACAGAATTGGTACATTCTGGCAAGAATGAAACCTTTGACACCGTCGATAGTATGGACAAAAGCGTCAAATTCCGTAACGATTCCGTATTTTGGAGAAAAGGAAAAAGATTGTGCTATCGATAAAAAGCCAAAGGGTCATGAACAAGAAATTTCCGATGACATACCATTGCTACCTACTTCAGAGAACTCCTCTAGTAAAAGTAGCCAAGAATTCATAAGTACAATTACTAGTTAAATAAATTGATAAGAAGCACTAATCCAATACTACATACTTGGGGAAAACTTTACACAAGGGTGTGTCTCCTACACAGTCCGATCACGTTTTTTATTTTTAAATGCACAAAAGAAAGGACAATACCACTACACCTTGTTCGTGTTGTCTTTTCTTACCGTAATTTAAATTTAATTTTATCAGATATTTCAATTTTAATATACTTAATATATTGTACCCATAGAACTCGTTTCTATTATTAAAAGATTAAAATTGAAAGAATAAGTTAATTGTATTGTTTCATTAAAAATTGCAGTCCTAACATGATCAGACCGTTCCTTTAAAAAATTTAAGAACACGATGGGACCTTACAAGAGACACTCCCTTCATTCCCTTTACATAAACCATATAATTCCTAGCCACAATAAAATATCAAAATACTCGCATTTTTAAAAAAGAATGCTTTAACAGTGGTATAGCGAGGGCGGAGGGAGTCATGTGTTTTCTTACAATAGTTTATTTTAAAATATAGGTTATAGTAAAAATTTTTTTAATTGTAAGTACAGATCTAGTGAGGATGATACCTCTCCATCCGCCTCTACTTGTGAAACTTAATAATTTAAAATAGTTGAAGGCCTAATTATTGTTCGTAAATACGCATAATATTTTTTATCACTGTATTTATAATAAAACAAACTGAAATAGATTCCTAATACATATATAAGATAAACAGATAATCAACGTTATAGGTACCTTGTTACTGGAAATAGGTTTTTTGATAGATTTCTCTTAAAATAAAACTAAATGCACCGTATTATGACCACTTGTACATAATCTTGTTAATACAGTAGAACCTCTATAACTCGAACATCAAGAGGGACGACAAAAAATTCGAATTATAGAGTTTTCGACTTATGGAGGATTTTGATTTGACAGAGCTAACAAACACATTTTTATTTATTATAAATCAACATTATTTCAAAACAACCTTAAAATAGAGGGAAAATATGTACCAAAATGACTTGTATGGACTCACTGATTATTTCGACTAATAGAGGGTTGAGATTTCGAGTAATGGAGATTTTGGGGCTTGAAGGGAAAGGAACAAAACAAAAGAGGTTCTACTGTATTTATGAAATTTTGAAATTTGGAATATTTAGACATGTACCGCACTTAATAAATCATAAAAGGGCGGCTTTGTTTACCATTTCAAAGAGAAGTGTACCGAAGGTAAGCAGGGCCGCGCCGCCCATGTGCTAAAAGTGTGCAGAGCCAAAAGGCGCCTCTATGAACAATGAATGCCAGAGGCAATAGTTAAAATTAAAATCTTATTTAAACAATAATAGTCAATATAAATACATAATAAATGTAAGTGCAATTTGTCCGTACTTGGTGCTAAAGCACGTAACCAAATTCCACAGCCTCATAAGAGTTATATAATATGATGGCTTTCCATCCCCTTTACATGAGAAGATTTTGGCTTTAAGCTGCAGGGGTTGGTTGCAAAGATACGGAGATTAAAATTTTCGGTTATAATTTATAATGACTTATTTTTCCCTGGGCGAAGCGAAGGTAACCCAGCTTGTAGTTAAATATTAAAAATCGCCAGCCTTCAAGGCATTATTTATGTCTGTTGGTTAAGTATAGAGCATTTTTGTATTTTTGTTATTTCCTTCTATTAATTGTTATATATTGTATAAAATAGGCCATCATAATAATTTAGTTTGAACAAGTTAATGTATAACCGTAAAAGTTCGTGTTACCTTCGAAAATTTCGTGAAGCGGTCAGGTGAATCACAAACCATCACGCTGATCGGTCACCCACTTTGGCTGCTAAAATTGTTTGTTTTGTGGGTTTTTAATAAATTTATAAATAAGCAAACGAAACAATCTAGCGGTTCAAATATGTTCAACAACCACTTTCGAACGTAACACATTGGATGAAGCGTTAGTCTGCTTAGTTTCTGTGAAAGATCAATTGATCCCCATAAAATTATTGCTATCTATGACGGTCAGTAATAAGCGCGGAAAGATCATTTTCTATAAATTAAAACTAAATAATAAGGAGAGGACATAGAGCATGTTAGCAACAAATATCACTAGATATAGATACTGCATATTGCTTGAAATTATATCATCTTCCTTTCATGGAGCAACTTCCATTTGATAAATTATCGAGACTATGGCGTACTGATGAAGACTAATAAGTCCAAAATCGTAATCTACGTCAGTGGTTTCGATAAATCGCTAAAAACTGACTGTTTTATATTAGAAACACTTTTGCACTACTAATACACTTTTATCATTTTTTTGTTGTTGCAAAAGTAACGGATGGAATTTAATTTGATCTTAAAAAAATTAGCAACTATTTAGACCCGCTCAAAGAAAACGGACCTACAAGTTAATTTCATAAACACGACCTTTACTATAAGTTGAATCTAAAAATATGATTGGTATACAATCTATTAGCGATTCAACAATAGTAATAAATCAATAGTGTGGAGAAAACGCCGTAAGAAAGTCTAAAAACTACTCACCGTTTTTACTGAGCTCATTTCCGATGCTTTTCCAAACGTTTTATTATACAAAATTATTGCGCTAACTAACATAACCTGCGTCACAAATAACTAAATGTTTTATTATAGTGTTTAATAATCTATTATCTATAAACTTGTTTTATATTTTTCATTTAAGTAAAAAGCACGTGGACTCACTCTGCGGTCGGCATCACTACATGTATTAACTCCTAATACAAACTGCAAACCATAGAGCAATAAACTGCAAACCACAGCGCATAGTCACACAGTCACTACCGCTACACAGCGTCATTGTCGCATGCGATCACTTGCGGTTGCCTTGTGCCGCCACGACAGTGACCGCAGACCAGATTACCGCTTAAAAACCAGTGTGATAATAGCTTCTTTCGCATTCATTTAACCACGTAATACATAAATAACAGCTTTTTAAGTTTACGTGGTTATTTACATAAATGATAGGTATTCTTCAATACCATTAAGTTCCATACATCTAACATGCGGGCATAGTAGACTTAATACATGTGCGTTCATTGTTCAACATGTATTCAATAACGTTAAGTTCCATCGTTCCATACACACGGATGTAGATGACTTAAGTCACCTATGTGGATGTGTATTACGTTATTTTAATTTTTAGTATGGAATTAGAAGAAATTACGGATTCTGCGATTCAATATTTAGATCCTTACTAGGTGAAATTTTTAAAAGAAGATTTTCGAACTATCAACGAGTCTATTTTTAACATTAATAATTAGGTACAATAGATTATTACTAAAACAGACGCACAAACTCTTGTTAAGTAAAACTATTTATATAGAAATAATTAGTGATCTTAACCATAGTTTAGTATTTAAACTGTTATAATTAATGTTTAAACGATGGAATAGATTTTTTTACAGTTAATAATCTTACCAAATCAGTATTATTACATGATTATAATGAGCCATTCGGTAAAGATAATCATATAGAAATATATACATGTATAATAATGTTAAATCTGTATTCTTACATATTTCACAAAATTGTTTCAAAAAACTTGTAAAATACAGTAATTTCAAATTCAAGAGACGTCTTTTCATATAAATGGAGCGGAGTTCTGTGGCTTTTTAAACTCTTAACTGTACGTTTTTAATAATACTACGAAAAGAACTTAAGTTTATAGACTTATGTATTACCCAGTCATTAGCTAAACTGGTTAGAATTTGTTTAATCATTTAAAACAGGTCATATTTTTTTCAAATCGCTTAAATAAATTATACTATCAAGATTGCAAAAGAAAATATCTAAAAACTTCAAGAAATACGTTTTTTATACTATGAACATAACTGCTAAATTACTTACCCAAGAAAATTTCACTCCATGACCGATGAACGATGAAATCTGACTACGTCCCTGCAATAGGAATGTAGATTATTAGTATACAAAAAGATTAGACTTACTATTATGGATTGCTTAATATACAGTGCGAGGCACGAAGTCACTAAATTGTGCTTGTTCGTACGCTGCGCAGTATGACAGTGCGCTTCTGATTTGCTGAATAGGCAAGATTTCGTTTATATTTTGAGTTTGAAAACTGAAAATACCTAAATTGATGCTCAATCGCTTCGTGCAGCGAACGAACACGTTTCATACCTTTATTATTGTCCTTGTAGGCAACGTGCAGGTAATAAAATAAAACACGATCGGGTTCATAGCGGATCGACATAAGACACTCCAACACCCCGTAACTGGACTGGCGTCATAGATTAGACACAGTATATATTTCTCTAATCTATGACTGGCATCTAGCCCATAGATAGTCTATCCTAACAGCGTAGACATAACAGTATATATTTCTTTGATCGCCTAAAAAGAGAAATAGTCAACAAAACGAATCCAATTGGACAATGTTGGAATCCTTACCCTTTGTGTATCTATTATCTATGGTTGGAATGTTCGTAGTTTTAAGAAAGACTTATTACATTCATAAGGACGTAGAACTCTGTTATCTCTATGATTACACAAGAATACAATAAATTAAAATTTAATCACCTAATGAAGCATATGTAGTTTTTCTTAGTTTTTTTATTGCTTCTCTCATGCTCCTCTTTTCCGTTTAGACAACAGTTAGGACAAAGCATAGGAGGAGTTATTTTTGACTTGAATATATTCGGCAAATTTCGTTTTGACTGTTCTCCTGCTTCTTTCAGGCGAAGCCGAACGACAATTATGTGTTATTCTATGGTGTCGATTAGATACATGTGCACTACAATTATTGTTTTAGGTTATAGTTTATGCATGTGTTAATGGCGGTTATGTACCTAGTAGTTACAGAATGGCATCGCAATTTAGTGAAGATTGTAAATACTATGCCCATTTATCAAGCGATGGTAAACTAAAAATTTGGCACACATCAACAAGTACCTTGGAACAAGAATTTACGCCAGAATTTCATCTAACAGCGCCGTGTACATGTATACATTTTATAAGTTCTACTTCATTAAGAAAGGTACATTCAAATATTTAATACAATGTGCATTTAATGAAATAGATACTTAACTTGATGTTAAAGGAAGCTTCACCTCGAAAAAAGAAAAAACGAGATTCTCTGGAAGTTGCTCCCTACATAGCTTTAGGTACAAGTTCTGGTAAATTGCTGCTGTATTCAGTAGGAAAAGCAGATTTAGAATCGAATATTAATAGTAATACCAATCAGTCTATTAATTGCCTTTCATGGAATGTTGGTAATTTGATATATTCAGGTGTTGAGCAGAATATTATTTGTTGGGATCTTGAGAAAAAATCTATCCGAAGGTAATTGTTTATCTTTAATATACATTAACTACTAATTCCTTTTTTCTTTAAAGCAAGTGGAAAGCAGGTAGTGAAGTGGTTACAAGTATTTTAGAAGTGCCAACAAGTAATAGATTGTTGACTGCTTCAAGAAGTATAAAATTATGGAATGTAGATACCAAGGAACTTTTGCACATTTATACAGGTCACACTCATGATGTGATATTGTTGCATTATATAAATCCTCGGAACTCTTCAGAAGCTTATTTTTTAAGTGGATCTAAGGTAAAAAGAATTAAACTAATTTGTTTTATATGTGCATATTCTTATTTTAAAGGAAGACAGAATTGTTAATTGCTGGAGTGTAAGTGAGAGTGTTGAAGAGAAAAATTCACTGGTGAGTTTTGTTTTGGATGATGCTCCTAAAGATATTTCAGTGGCTGTTAATGCGGATGGATCAACATACTTGTCTGCAACATCAAGGAATGGTGTAGCTCATATCTTTCGGCACACTCTAAATGGGTAAGAAAGTTTTACATTGAATGTGTAATTGAATTAAAACTAGTTTTTAAATATCACCTCATTTGATGTTAACTTTACAGTAGCTATCTTTAATCTGACACACACATCCCAATCATTGTACCTTTTTCATTAAACATTTAAGGCTTTTTAATTGGTTAATTATTAATTTGTAGTACCTTTTTTATTTGGTAAACTTTAAAATGAACAGCATGAATTTAAGAGACCTTTGCTTATGATAAATAGAGTTAAAATAGTGTAAAAATTTAACTTGTGTAGTTTTTCAAGGGCTAATTTCCGATTGAATGTTACTGTAACAGCCCTAAAAGTATATCTAAAAAACAAAAATTAATGTGCTAAAGAAAAACAAAACATAGGAACTTTACAAAAATTGGAAAAACATTTAATCAGATGGTGGATAACTTAACCGTAACCTAGCCTAGTTTAACATAGTAAAGAATTTTTCGGAGTAATTTTTTTGGGTTAGGTTAGCTTGGAATCTCAATGTTTTTTAGTTTATGAAAATGTTTATTATTTCACAATATTACCTTTCATGATTAAAATAAACTTTTTCCTATGGTTCTGCTATTGAGTAATGTTATCTCTTTTGTTAGAAGGAGTAATAAACCTCTTAAACCAAAACAAACAATTCAAGTTGTCTCAAACACATCTGAAAATGAAGGTACTGTAATTCCGATTCCCATATTGTGTGCAACAATAGGCGACAACATGCGTTTACTTATTGGCCATGGAAACCATGTAATGATGACTTTTGAGAGTGTAGTAAGTATATATAAAAATATTTGTGAACCAGTATGTTTTTAAATAGGCTTTTCTCTTATATGTAACTGTATTGATGTTGTTATGTATGATGCTCATGTCTTATTCCACATTTACATAATCGTTTTATGGTATTCAGAAACTTGCACCCCACTGTTGTTTTCTTTACAGTCTTACTCTTCAATCTTACTTTGTCATAAACTTGTCTTAATGTTCTGTTTATTCTGTCATTATTTTTTCGTTTGTTCCTTTTTTCTCTGTATAGTCGCATTTTTTCAGCACGTGCTGTAAGAGTTTTTTTTCTTCTCTTTATGCATAGAATAGTAGATCATCTTGTGCTGTTTATAAAGTTGTTTCTGTTTTCTCTCTGCTCCCTTTAAACTTAACTTTTAAGTGAACAAATTTATTCTCTTAGAGTTTCTCTTCGTATTTAATGGCTCTTATTCTTGCTCTTCAGTCTGATTTTATTTCGTTTTATTCTACATAATTAGAAATATTGTTTTATGTATTAGTATATATATTATTTATTTGGAATTCTGTTTTAGATAATTACTGACCATGAAAAAGTTCAATGTCTTATTAGAAAAGATCCTCGCAGCATTCTTTCAAACAAATCAAAAGGAAAAAGTAATTCAAAAGTTAAAACACCAGTTACAAACGATGCACACTATTTAACGCCTTTCTCATCCACGAATACTGTAAAAAGGAGAAATGATGGTACACAGGAAGTTCCAATGGAAAAACGCCTTGAAAATTTAACACTTAACAAAGTCGGGAATAAGTCGGAGGCATCCCAAATGGAAAATTTGGCTCATTTGCTTGTCCAAGGGCTTCATAGTAAAGATAAATTTTTGCTCACAAACGTTTTCCAGAGGCGAGACGAAAATATTATAAGAAATACAGTGAAAAGATTGCCTTTACCAGTCATCATTCCTCTTATTGAAGAACTGACTGCAATGATTCAAGGAAAAACATTGTCGTAAGTGATTGAGATATCCCAGACTATCATGTTCTTTCTGCTTCTATATTTTTTATATGGAAACCTAAAAATACACCTTCACAAGTATTAAATAGCACCTATTTTGTAACTATCCATGTTGTGTTTAGAATTTTTACAGTTTATTACAAATAAATTTAATTTCATCAAACCAAAAATTATTCAAATAATTTATATTAAAAACATGGCTGAACCACCTTATCTACTAAATAATATATAATTAATGAAATAATTCGGTTATTTTTAACAATCTGATCCTGCCGGTGCTTATAATTCGTGTATTCCACAAGTGACTTATTCCTTTAAAAAGTTGTGTTTAGTATAAATAATATGTTAATAGCTTTCGTTTTTGTATCTATTTTAGTAGCAAAATAGGAGCAATATGGCTACATTATCTAGTGCAAAATAATGCTGGTCTTTTAATATCAAATCCTGATATATCTGCTATCCTTGGTCCTGTAATTGGAAACATAGAAAGCAGGCTGAGTTTACAAGCCCCTTTGAGCAAATTAAAGGGCAGACTGAGCTTACTTTTATCGCAAGTGACGTCTTTCAATTCTGAAGAAAGCAATCATAATGAAGAACCTATATTAGTCTACAATGATAAGGGTATGTTGTTATTACTGTTAACTACTGGTAGCTGCTTTCTAAGAAAGAGGGGTACAAGGCCAAGGTAACTGCTGTTTCACATGCACATGATTGGGTGTTATTAATAAGCTCCTTCCAAATATCACAGAAAATAAACCCAAGCAATTATAATTTGTCAATTAAAGTCGATAAAACCGAAGTTAAGATGGATGTTTGGCTTTATCCCTCTCTTATTTCTTTCTCTGTTAAAATCGTTCTTTCTTCAACAAAAACAATCGCCAGTAGTAAGTGTATGTATATTCTAAGTTGTTATATTTTTCAGGTTCAAGTGATTTAGATTTGGAAGCGATGGACTATGGCGTTCATGTGGATAGTGACAATGAATGGGTAGAAGAAGATACTGCGGAAGAAGACAGCGAACAAGAAGATAACGACGACGAAGCACAACAGTCCGATTCTGAAATGTCAACGTAAAACAAATATAAGTATTCATAAAATACTTTTTCCATTGTCATAAAATGATATAAAGTGTTGTGGGCAGTTCAGCTTACAAATTTTATTTGTTAATAAAATTATATTAATTATTGTATTCTGTTATTGTTTAATTCGTTTAATGTACTTCAAACGTTTATGTGCCTAAATATGTACAACGAAATTATAACGTACAACATTATCAAGAGTTCAGAAAACCGGTGGCTTTATTCACCTATAGGTATAGGTATATGCACTTTTTCTGTATATTCAAGCATAATTTTTAAAAAAGTTAATGATTTGTTTGAACATTTTCGCGATGGCCTTATGCCCCTAACTTGCCCTTATTGTGGATTATGAACATAGAAGTATCCTAATAATCTATGATCCTAATTAAATCTTCGGGATGTTTCGGGTTAAGTGTCCCTCATTGGACATTGCATATTTATATGTTATGGGATCCGTCAAATAGGCATACACCATCTGGTGGCAAAATTTATAAGGGAGAAATTTACGTAGCAGCTGTGCACGCAAATTGTAAAATTATTTTTTAAAACCATAAAACGCGTTAAATAACTAAAAAACTTATTGATAATGGAATCCGCAAGGTTTTCTCCTCGTGCTAGATCGAATAAAAAGTTAGTCTGTTCAGTGAAAGGCTGTAATAGCACCTCCAACAGAGATCTTGAATTGTGTTTTCATTACTTCCCGATAAAAACAGACTGTTTTATATACATAAAAAATATTTTTGGAAAATTAGAGAAAAAAAAAAAATTAGAATGTTGGATGAAAGCAATAGGTGTCAATAAAGTGAATTCCGGAATGAAAATTTGTTCACGTCATTTTTATATGGATGATTATATTTTACCAAGTAAGTAGATATACTTGACCTCAATATTACAAACTTTTAATAAATCAAATAATTATTCCTTATTGCTTATTTATAGATGCGCCAGCAAAATTAAAACGTTTAAAGAAAAGTGCTGTTCCTTCATTAAATCTACCGCATTCTACTAATGAAAAAAGTAAACATGACAGAAAAGTCAGAGTTTTGAAGAGAAACATTAAAAAAAGCAATGTAACAGAGAAGCTTCAACAAGTTGAACTAATGAACTGTCATCAATCTGTAGTGGATGAGGATATATCAGAAAGTGTGCAAGATGTTTCGGATGTTATTATTAATAGTGAGCAAAATGCACCAACCTACTCTGAAAAATGTAAAAAAAGTTCATCCACTAAAGATTTTGGAGTGCAGGTAGAAACTGTTTTTCTGAAATCAAACCTCCTAAATTTGTTAAAGAATGATGCACAGTTAAGTGCTTTTACTGGTATTGAGTCATTTGCAATTTTAAATAATCTTGTTGAAATCGTGACACTTAAATTTGGCAATCAACTGAATCATCATAACATGAAAAATGAAACAAAATACACCTTATAATTGTTTAGCTATTTTATTCTTGTCTCAAATCTGATGTACGAAGACAGTAAGGACTGAAACTCATCACATCTGATCGTTCACTATCAGATTTATTTTTCCCAAATTTTATGATATGACTCGTTCACCTTCAACAAAATTCCTCTTTTGAGGATTTGTGTTGGTCCAATTACAAATTATGCTTATATTAATCATTTTACAGACTCTTAAAAAATACAAAACTGCACAGTACACTATAGAGACTATGATAATTTTTCCCTAATCAGCGCCATGTTTTTTAGGCTCCCATCTGACGGATCCCATATTGGGATATTATCAATAATAATATTTATGTTTTTGTTGTTTTCTACAGCAAATGTAAAAATAACGAGTAATAAACGCAGTAAAATAATAAATTATGTTATTACAGAAAGAAACATCCAATTTATTAACAGTGAAAAGTGAATTATATCAAGATAATTACAATATGGATGGAACTGGGCACTTTTCTGATCAAGAAAGTGATAGAAAAAATGATATTTTAAATTTAGATGATATAAAAGAAGAAATCGATATAAAAAAGGAAGCGGAAGATAACATTTTTGTCAGTCAAATTGATGATGATATAATAAAAGAGGAAACCATTATAAAAAATGAATTACTAGATAATAATACTTTGAAAGGTAAAATTGAGCCTAATGTACACAATAATGCTCCCTCAGATTTAACTAACATTAGAATTCATACAAAAGAGAAACCACATAAATGCAAAAAATGTGGTAAAACATTTAAGTACAAATGTAGATTAAATGTTCATGTTTTAGTACATGTTCAAGCAGAAGAAAGGCCATTCAAATGTGAAACCTGTGGACAGAAATTTACTCAAAAGTAAGTAATAATCAATACCGTTGGGTAGCTGACTAACAGGACTACTGCACACATCTAAAACATAAGATTTTAAAACAGTACCCTATGCCTTTATACCCCTTCTATTTATCTTATTTGACACATGGAAATAGAAGGGTCAGTTATATTTCTCTGTTTCTTTACTACATTTCCTGGTATTGACATTATGTTTAATATTAGTAGTAAGTTTTATTTAATTATTATTTTATTTTGTCAACTTGTTTTTATGTTATATTATTTACAGAATTAGTTTGAGAAACCATGAAATGGTACATACAGGTGAACGTCCATTTGAATGTCCAATTTGTGGCAAACGTTTCATACAAAAATCGATCTTGTTCAGTCGTCACATTAGTATACACACAGGAAAAGAACCATATGAATGTCAAGTATGTCAGAAAAAGTATCTTAGAAAACAGCACATTGACGAGCATATGCACATACATACGGGAGAAAAACCGTACGAGTGTCAAGTGTGTCAGAAAAGATTTTCCAAAAAACGTAATTTCGATCAACATATGGTCGTCCATAGCATAGAAAAGCCACACGAGTGTCAAATTTGTCTGAAAAGGTTTTCCATAAAACGAAATTTGGATCAGCATATGGTCATTCATACCGGAGAAAAACGATACGAGTGCCAAGTGTGCCAGAAAAGGTATCTCAGAAAATATCAAATTGATGAACATATGTACATACATATGGGAGAAACACCATTCCAATGTGAAACCTGTAAACAGAGATTTACTCATAAGTAAGTAATGATTTATACCATTGTGTAATTGATTAGCAAGACCAATACATGCATCCAAAACATAGGCCTCTCAAACAATAGCCTTCATAGCCGATTTTTTTCAAATTGCTGTGATGCTCCCACATTATCTCATTATTAAATGCATTAATATGGGTCATTATTATGCTAAACCAGATTAAAATCATGTTTGGATTTAGAACCCGGCGGATCCGGCATTTTTTTCCATCCGGATAATTCAACCAGAAAGGGAAAAAAGAGCAGAATCTTTTTAATTATTAAGAAAAAAGCATTAAATAGATTTGGCATCGAAGTTTAGATTCTAATGAGTTCACAAAGATCAAATAGTAGTCAGGGTAGTGAAAACCACGCACGTATTAACATCACTTTAAATAAAAAAAATTAATCAAATATAATGATATTTTCTTTATTTCATATGTATAACCAATAAATACTTTTATTCTAGTCAAAGAAATTTAAAGAATGTTTAATATGTGATTTTTTTTGTTTTAAACACAGTTTAAAGCACTTTAATGTCAAACATCTTTTATTTAACTGTTTTGAGCAGTGTTTAAAGCAAATTCATTTAACAATGATTTTGGTAAGACATTAGAAACTACCTGTATTTAGAAATAGATGTTCTTCTTTACTCTTTTTGGTGATGGGATAATATTAATATTACATGAATAGATTGCTGATTTGCATGTAGTTACTATTTCGTATTATTAATTCAATTTTACATACATATTTTCAGAAAAGATTTAACTAGTCACCTTCGCATCCATACGGGGGAAAAACTGTACGCTTGTCAAGTGTGTCAGAAAAGGTTTGACAAAAAATCCCATCTCAACCGACATTTACGCGTTCATACGGGAGAAAAACCGTACGAGTGTCAAGTGTGCCATAAAAGATTTCTCGAAAAACGAAATTTTGATCGACATATTATGCGCATTCACATTGGAGAAAAACCGTACGAGTGTCAAGTGTGTCAGAAAAGATTTTCCGAAAAAAGTTGTCTCAATCGGCATACGCGCATTCATACGGAGAAAAATATGTAAAAGTTTAAAGTTTGTATGTAAAGATTTTCGTTTTATCTCCTCCTAAAAAAGATGCCTATGTATGCTTAAATAAATGCAAATACAGATATTAATCAGAAACATACAGTTTTTTAGATAGTCAGAAAAATAAACACTTAAGAGTTGTTTAATAACAGAAATAGTCATACATGAGCAAAGGGCAATTATTTCAGTATTACAGATAAATATATCAAGTCAAATTAAAAAAAATTTAATATATGTACACGGCAATACGTGTATTAAAGAGAAAAAAGGGATTAGTAAAAATAACGCTAAAGTAAAACAGAATTAACTGGAGTATTTCCGGCAAAATTCGTTTTAACTGCTCTTCTGCTCCCGTTAGACGCGGTTTTAGAGCCTTGTTTTAAAAGTTTTTAACCTTCCCTTGTCTATGATTTTTAATAAATATAACCTCAATTTAAGATATGTTTAAAAAACCAAGATATATTTTTCGTTACAATAAAAATCCTAAAAGTTTAATTACATCATTTCAGTGTTTAACAACAGCAGCCCTACCCACAGAAAGAATCGATAGTTTTCGTTGTGTTATAAATAACCCTCTAGAACAGAATGAGGGGCACATTGGTCAGTTTTATAGAGTTCCAGAAGACGTTGTATCAAAGTTATTTTCACAAGGTGGCTTACCAAAATCATTTCGTATACAAACAAAAACATTTGCAGAAACATGTTTAATGATTCGAAAACCCTCCATAGACATAATAAATTGTATTAAAAATTTAGATTTTAGCAAACCTGTACCACGATTCGTTTTATATGGTCAAAAGGGAGTAGGTAAGTGTATGTTTAAAAAAAAAACATTTACTACATTTTAATTTTAATTGAAGGAAAGAGTCTATCTTTGGCTCATATTGTGCATTATGGATATGAAGCAGGATTTCTATTAGTTCACATACCATGGCTAGGTGAATGGATGAGAAGACCCAAGGATAGCAGTCCTTCAGAAACTAAGGAGGGCTACACCAATATTAATTTAGATATTGCTTCATGGCTTGTTCACTTCAAAAACCAAAACTCATTATTGCTTGAAAAAGCCAATCTTAAAACTACGCAGACATACAAATGGACTAAACGAGAAGAAACAGTGGCAAACTCAAACCTTATGGATCTAGTTGATCACGGAATTAACCGTATCAAGTTTGCATCTGACTGCGTTTTAGCTCTTTTAAATGAAATTAAACAATTATCAAAATCAGGAAAATGTAAAACACTAGTAGCTATTGATGGATTTAATGCATTTTTCTATCCTGAGACTAGAATTCGCACAGAAAAGAAAGAAATAGTACATCCCCATAATGTCTCAGTTACAGAAGGTTTTCTTAGTTTAACTCGGTTTGACTGGAAGAATGCAGTTGCGGTATTAATAGTTGATGAACTTGCAATAGCAGAAAAGGACCAAACATCTTATTTCCCAAGGTGAACATTTTAATTTTTTAAATATTTTGTCAAGAGAAAAAATATTTTCAGAGAAACTAACATAAAACCATTAATTGATGTTTGTTAATTCATATAGCCTTTTATTTAATGTTTTATTAAGAAAATTTTATTGTATTTCCAAAACATTGCTTTTATTCATTCAACAAATACCAAGCTAATCTGCCTCAAATTAAGTTGGAATATATGGATGTCAGAAACAGTTTACTGATGCTTGATAGTATCCCAAATAAGTAGAAACTAGTAGTAAACTGTTAACTAATGTCTACTACTATTTCAAACAATTCTTTTAAATCCGTTTTTATTCGATATATTTAAAAATATTTATATAAAAGTCCATTTGTTGATAATTGTAAACTACATAATATTGTTTTTGCTGATTAATTAGTATTTGTCAAAAGTACATAGAAACAACAGTAAATTTAAAAGAAAGAATATAAACTTTTTGTTAATTGATATTTTGCTACAATACTGTGGAGTAAAATTATCAACTTTTTTGAAACATTATAAAGCATTTTATTCTATTTACACTAATTTAAAATTAGATTTGGAATATACTTTCAAAATATTATTCAATCATTCAATAACCCATACCAAACAAGACTACCAAAGAACACTATATGCTTTCATTTTTTTTAGGTATTTATTAGGTAAAGATGGGTTTGAACATTTAGATCCTTTTATACCAGTTTTGGTCAATGGATATTCTAATAAAGAATTCTTAAGTTGTATGAATTACTATAGAGAGAGACGATGGGTACAACCTTTACCTGGACTAGATGATGAGTTATCTGTCATTAGTTCTTCAAATCCATACAAACTTATGCAGTTGTGTGCTCCTTTGTAAAATAAGTAATAATAGATGGAAGTTACAATTCATTGTTTATTATTTAAAAATCTAACTATGCATTACTTAAAATATTACAAATAAGCTATATGAATTATGATTTACACATATAAATAAAAGGAACACATCAAAATTGATAAATTGCTCTTTAGAAATGACTTACATTAATTGTAGTAGTACTGTTTATAAAAATGACCATTAAATCAAGTACAGAATACTGCTGGTCTTTAGTGTTACAAACCATACGGAAATCCTGGTTAAGTGATATATGCATTACGAAGTTCCTAGAACACTGCCTGGTGTACCTTTTCCTGAATAACCACTGCCTCCTGTGCCAGAAGGATCCTCATCATCATCCCTATGTGCTTCTAGTCTGCAAGAAACTAAAGCACCTTCAGGACCAAACAGTTTTGCCAAATAAGGACCACACAATAATTGAAGATGTTTTTGTTGATTAACCAATTCTTGAACACCTAAACTAGAAGAACTTTCGAGCCATCTCAAACATTTATCACATTCAGTTTCCATTTTATTCTTTTCTTTTATGTGCAATTTATCTCCGGAATTGTCAATAGCTTGCTTTACATGGGAAATATAGTCTTCCAAAGATCTTTTTACTGTTAATAATTCATCTTGTATTGCATTATGAGAATCCGGCATTTTGCTGGAAGGAACTTCTAAAAGTAAAAGAAATGGATATAATTAGGTAATTAGTTCAAAAAACATACCAACAAATGCGATTTAGGTACTGTTACTTTGTCGTCAATTATCATGCATATAATAATACAATATTATAATAAATCTTGAAGTTGAAATTTAAATATTTGAATTACTATACTTACTTTTATGAATTGGATTAGTTACCACTTATTTTTAATATTATTACAATATCACTTATTTAGTGAACATCAAATAACGTTCTAATGTGTACTAACCTGACTGTACAACGTCCCAAATTGTCCAGAAAACTTCTGGAAAATTCTGATCTTTACGAAAATACACCAAACCTACGTTAACGTGAGATGTTTATAACCAGAAATAGAGGTAAAAGTATGCTGTTGTATTAATAATAACATATTATCTTTTATATTTGAAATGTAACTTAAAAATAGATTAAGAATGCCAGTAAAAATTATTGGTGTGAGTGAATTTTCCCAACGCCCCTGTGGCCTAATGGATAAGGCACCGGCCTCCTAAGCCGGGGATTGTGGGTTCGAGTCCCACCAGGGGTACATCGTTTTTTACACTCAATGTAATACAAACTTTTCGTTTGCGTTTTTTGTTCATATTGTTAATATAAACTCATTTATATCTAGAAATAAAACAAATCTGTTTAAATTCAATATTTTCGATTTTATTTCTTATAATATTATTTATAAGGAGTAACATGGAACAAACAAATGGCTCGTGCATTTAATACTTGTATAAAAAACATACATAACACAAATATACGGTGTAAAAACCTCCACGTTAATAAAAAAATAAAATATCTAACTATGTATCTAATAATAAAATCTCTTCGTAAGTTTAATTTAAAAAAAAGCGCCGCATTGGCGTCACAACGCCCAATCATTATAAAAAAACTGTACATAATAATGCTTCTCACAACAACAATAAAATGATAATAGTATTTATGTATATGTACATACACGAATCGCTACAAAAGAAAAGAACTGCACGCAGCCATTTGCCTTGTACAATATCAGATGAATCTATAACGATCTAGCTATCAAAATTGTCAACACATGTTAATCATTTTCAATTAATTAATTATATAAATTAACGCTATTCATATTCACAAGGGTCATAACTTACATTATATACAAAAATATTAATACAAGGTTGTGTCCGTAATTGACGTTTGTACACAAAAATCATACGACGACAATTTGCTATGGCCCGGCATCTCTTATTCTTCCATCTCTTTCACTCAGTCGCACACACACATACGATTTCCGTTCTCCCTTTTCCTGCTATTAATCAACTGACGGTATTTTTTTTATAACGAGGTGAACGGCTAAAACGAGTGACACAAATTCTTTTACTTCATTTTTTCCGCTTTTCTTATACCCCATGTCTCGAATCTGCAACTTCTGTTCTATTTTTGTACAATTCACTGGTCGCCTGAATTTACAATAATTAGTTAATTTACCTTATCACCCTAACGCAATATGATACAGTTTTTATCATCTAACTTCACAGTCTTTATTGAGAATTAGGGGTGTGGGCGTGTGAACGTTTTCGATGACATTCAGCGTTGGCGGTGGTGGATCAGCAGGTGGTGAAGGCGCTTTTCTTGTTTCGCTTCCCTTGTCTGGAGGTTCAGGATCAGGAGGATTTTCAGTTTTCATCACGTAACCTGATCCTTCTTGGCACCGAGAAAGTTTTAATTTGATTGGCGTCACCTTCACCGGTCGCACTTGGCGTAAAGCGGAAACTCCGCCACTTTCTTTCTCACTTTCGTCCAGAAGAGTGGGGTTTACCAGTAGATCCGGATTGACCGAAAGATTTTCTACGTTTTTCACACTCGAAATGTCTTTGTCTTTATCATTATTAGCACAAGTCCGTTTACTTTCATTTTCACCGTCCGGTTTTCGTCCAAAACGGATAATAAGCTTTGTAGAATTGTTTCCATCGTTAGGTATGATTTGCACTTCCTGTTTTTCTTTCCGTTTCTTATGTTTGTCCTTCTTTTTCTTACGCTCTTCACCGAAATCAGCCATTACTCTTTTCCGGAATTTCATGCTTTCACGTTTTAAATCTTCCACACTAGGTTGCGTTATTGTAGCAAGTCTCTTTTTAGGCGGCCGTATTCTATCCTTCTTTTCGTCCAAGCGACTTGCACCCACAATGCTGTTTCTGCTGATTTTGATCTTTAGTTTTGGGGTTGGTTGTGGCGTTTTGTTAATTGGTCTGCCTCTTCTTTTGTTCGATAGACCCGAGTCCATGCTTGTTGAAAGTGACACACTACTTCCAGTCGAACCGACACTTCTTCTTCTTTCATGAATTGTGTCGTCATCAAGGGATAAGTCAAGTTGTCTCAGTTCACGTGAAAGAGGTTGTCTTGTCTTGTTTTCTTTTCGTATCTTTGTATCAAGAATATCGTCAGCGCCGGTCCTATAATCACGGTAATCGTCGCGAGTTGGAATACTTGTCATGGATGCCACAGCCTTAGGTATAGTTATTGTAGTACGGTTAATATGAGGTGCGACGGGTGCTGAGGTTATACCGGAAATGCCAGTCGGATCGTCCATATTCATGTTTTGCGTCCAGTATTGCCTCAACAGCTCTTTTTTACGCATACGTCTTAAATTCGATGTGCCCGAATTCACTGCAACGGCCGCGTTTGAAATTACATTGTTAATTGTAGGAATCGACGAAATATTCGACACCGAAATGGGATCCGCCGTCGAGGGCGGCAAACTAGACACTGATGTGTAATTGGCTATGGGTCCCTTTATTTTTACTTTTAATTGATTGCGCGAATCTGAAAGTGATACCTTTATATTTGCTGTTTCGGGTACAACTGGCTCTTCAGGTTTTTTACTGGCTGTCAAAGCTGACTGGAATTCCTTCTCAAAATCTTCATCGATGTCTTCATGCGGTTGAGATTCGGCGGTACCACTCGCGAATGCATTCAATAAGTTCGTTTCGTTGAACGTATTCGATTCGAAGTTGCTATTGTACGTTCTCATATCGACAGGTCCGGGCAACACGGGTTGCACAATATCTGAAAAACTTTGCGTTACTTCGTTTGTATGTACGGGAGAACTCGACTTTTGGGGAACATCTTTTATGGGAGTTGGCGGTCGCAAATCTCTCAAATCTGCCGCAAACGACCTACCCTTTTGCGAAGAATGTAATGGACTAGTAAATTTAGGCGATTGAGATGAATCTCGGGACATACTGGAAAGGTCTGATTTTCTATCGTGGACATCGGCGGATTTTCTTCTCTCTCTCATTGCTCGTAAGTCAGCCATATTTTCATTAGAAATATCTTCGTCAAAGTCCAAATCATACACAGTTCCTACTAATTTATTGTGAATTGTATTATTTGATCCAAGTGCAAAATCATTGTGTTGTGTTTGGATAGTCCGACCTCTTCCTCTACCTCTCCCCCGGCCTCTGCTGGCTCCTCTGATTGCTTTATTGTTACTTCGTTTATCACCACGACCACGGCCGGAATTAGCTGGTTTTGTGTTTTCTTGTCGGGGACTCTTTCCTGGACTTTTAGTTGGTGATTTATTCTGTTGTTGTGATGTAACGCGGGCAGAAAATCGTGTTGGTTTACTAGGAGATCTTTTACCTGCAGAACTGTTCGATTTTACCGACGGATTTGGTGACGGCTCTATATGATTTGCACTTGGTGTACTACTACTCAATGCCGGCGAAGTACTTTCGTCAACTGTCGTGGGTGGAAACGTAGCATCCGTGGAAGGAGGTTCAGTCAAAACTGGAATTCCTTCTTCTTCTTCGTCTGCCAGCGATTCCTTTGGATTTGGTGGAGGGGCGTTTACCATGGCAGCAATAAGTTCCATGTTTCTCTGAGACGAGGTAAATGTTGCCGTACACGCCGAAGAAAATCGCATATTTTCTTCTAATGGTTTTGACAATGAAGGTATCACAGAATGTGGAGCAGAAAATGGAGCTCCAAACGTGGGTGGAAACATTGCTGCACCAGGTGAGGGGAATGGAATCTGTGTGTTCATATTTGGCGGTGGAGGAAACAAACTTACAGGACTGACAAATTGAGATGTTTCCGAAAATGGTGGAGGATATGATGGATCTAAAGGAGCAGGAGGAAACGACATATTTGGTAAAACACCGAAATGTATATCTAGTGGAGGGTGATTCATTGGCATTATTTCTGGTCTTTTAATAATTTCTTCTTCCATATTGTCATTACGTCGTGAGCAAGAACTTGACGTCGATGTTATAGAACTCGAAGACGATCTTCGTGCTGGCATAATTTGGCTGTCAGCCCATTTTGCTTGAGGATGTATATCACCATATGGAGATGGACTAGGCATACAATCCATTGACGATTGCTCGAGGAAAGGTGTTTGTGAAACCCTCCTGTCAGGTACAATGGGTGACTGACCTTTATGTTGTTCTTCTTGCACTCTTAATTCCAATTGTGGAGCCAGCGACTGATGATGCGTAGTTTCCGTAGTTGAATACTGTTCGAGGTATCGCTGAGAGACATCAACCGACATATTGCTTTGATCAATATAATTATTGGATTGCGGAGGATATGCTTCGGCTTGTGGGATCCACCTTTCCGATTGTGTGCTAATAGCAGATTCTAAATGTGTATGACATGTTTGGTCTAAATGGCCACGAGTTATTTTTGGGAGATTTTTGTCCGATTCTAAAGGAACGTTAACCGCACAAGAATACTGAAACGTCGATTCATCACATTTTCTTTGTTCAAATGCTTCAACAGGTGCCTGTGACACTTCTACTCTCATTTCCAAATTAACATGAGGCGGTTGAGGAAGGAGCTCTTCTCCTTTTCGAATTGTGTCTATAATTTCTTGAGGTTCCTGAGTTTCGCTCGATATTAATTGATCGGTTTCCATTCTGTCACTTTCTTGTCTAGTGCTAGACGCTATACTTATACTATCTTCTATATCACAACCGGTTGACTTCTTCGATAGTTCCAATCTCAATTTTTCTACTAAATTGAGAGTTTCTCTAGCACTTTCTTCTTTCGTGTCTTCTTTAAATAAAGAAACGTTGCCAAATGAGAATGAGAGAGGGGCTCTGGATATTTCTTCATCTTTAGAAATACCGAAACCATCATCATCTAAAATGTCGAAATTAAGTAAATCGGAGTCTTTATTTAAACACTGTGGAGATAACATTAATTTATTTTGCGAATTAGTGTACGGGATTCTACTCGTTCTTTTATCGTCTACCATTTTGTGAATAGGTTCTTCTACTGATTTCTTATTTTCATTAATTTGGTTGCTTATTTGTCTTGTGTGTATATTCTCTTTTTGGTTATCATCAACTCTTTTTGTTTTAGGAACATCTTCTTCAAAGGATTTACTGCTTTTCGTTGGTACCTTTGATTTTTTAGGTTCGGGCTTACTTTTATCTGTGTTAATTTTATCAGAAAATATTTCATCTATGCTTTTATTTTTAATGGGTGACTTTTTACTAGTAGGGTGTTGTTTCTCAAGAGATTCTTTTCTACGTTCGGTGACAGATCTTGATTGCTTTTCCCTTTCAAGTTTAATTTGCTTTTCTGGAGATTTTGTTTTCTCAGGAGATTTTACTTTTTCTGGACTCTTTGCTTTTTCAGGAGATTTACATTTTTCTGGAGATTTGATTTTTTCTGTTAACTTGGATTTTTGCTTATCTCCAGCAATAGATGCTTGTTTATCCATCTTTTTATCTAACAACCGGTCAAGGGTAGATCTTGTTTTGTTAGATATTGCAGCTTCTCGACCTGCCTTTCTCTCTAAAATTTCTCTTTCTAGATTTAAAAGATTACTTTCGGTTTTATCGTATTCACTTTTTCTGTCTTTGTGTTCATCAACTAATTTTTTATCTTCTTTCCTGATCGGAGAGAGTAAGTTGCCTGATCGAGGTCCTTCTTTCTTTTCATGGTGTTCTTTCTGGTCACATGCTGGTTTTCTCTCCCTAATTTCAACTCGCTGTTCCCTTTCCAATGACTCGTTATTAGAGATATTTCGAGACCGGCCATGAACATCTCTGGTCCGATCACGTGAGTTACTTGTGATCGATCTTCCTCTCGGTACTTTCCCTCCTGCATTTGCGTTGTGGGTATTCGATGGTTTCTCTCTTTCAACAGGCGACGAAGCGCCCTTATCGGAAGGTCGTCTGGATGGTTTGGAGGTTGGGCGAGTGATAGGTTTGGGTTCCGGTATTTTAACGATGGATGATGATGATGATTGGTTAATGGGAGATGAAGATCGACTCGATTCAGACGAACTTGAGGAACTGCTAGACGCCGCGGAGTGAGGTCCCTTGTCAAGAAAGGGCCAGTCCTTAGCGGTAGCTCGTTTAGATTGTTCTTTTGAAGTGGAAGATACCACATTATCGGAAGGAGGTGGAATTTTAGGAGAAGGTTCGTCGCTATCTGAACTAGAACTGGTGGAAGAATCAGAAGACGAAGTTGAAGAGGAAGACGAGCTGCTTGAGGAAGACTTAGTTTTGGATTCTATTAATATCTTCGCAGGTTTAACTATAGGTTCTTTTACAGATTCTTGCTCTTTCTTTGTTTTGTTTTCTGATTCTTTTCTGTTTTTCGTTAAATCTTGTTCTTTTGTATCTTTCTTTGTTTTGTCGGTATCAAGTTGTTCCGTGATGGCAGGTAACTGTTTAGTTCCTAGTCCACTTTTAATATGTTCTGCCGCTTTCTTAGCTGCTTGCCTTTGAGGCACGTAAGCCAATAAAGCATCTTGAACATCGTCTTTTTCAAGTTCTTTTTCGGAATCTGATTGCGAAATCTTTTCATCTCTTTTTATAGCACCTTTAATTTCTTTAACAACAGTTTTTGTTGGTTTTACTTTGCTCTTCAACCTGTCTGGCTCAACGGTTACAGGAGTTGTAGGAGTTTTACTTCCTTGTTCTGTGGACGTTGTCTGTTCTTTTACTCGACTATTTCCAGTAGTAGCTTTCAAATTTTCGGAGGCTTTCTTAGCCGCTTGCCGCTGAGGCACAATCATACTAGACGGAACATAGTCTTTCTTTCTGTCTAAAGCGGAAGGCGACAGTTCCTTTTTCTTTACGCGCCCCACATTCGCTTTCTTCTTTCCGTCTGTAGGGACGTTATCTTTCGTAGAATTTTTGGCAACCTTTTGTGAAAATTCTTTCATCGCAGCTTTTGTACGTAGTTTGTTTTGTAAAGCTTCATTAGTAGCACCACACAATCGGTCGTCTTTCATCGAAACATCTGAACTAGCACCACTACTATTGCTGTCTGAATAAATAGAGCTAATGGCTTTCGCCTTTTGAGATTCTCCGAATTTAGTAGTCGAAGATCGAACAGGGGTGATGATTTCGTCACTGTCGGTTCCCGAAAGGCCAAGTTCACGTTCCATTTGGTGCAATCGAGATCGGTTCCACTCTTTTTTAGGCGGATGATTATCTTCATCATCTTCGCTACTGCTGTCTTGCCGCAATGAGTGTGTTACACTAAGAGTCTTACTTCTCACCTTATTACTATTTTCGCTTCGTTTCCGTGCGACGCGGGCCTTCCGCTTAGGAGTTGGCGTAGGAGATGGTTTTTCGTCCTCGGAACTTGTTCGAGCGAGTTCAATTTTGCTTTCTTTCGGTCGCTCATCAGCACTACTCGCACCCGAACTACTCCCGTACAAACTCACACTGCGCCGTTTCGACGAACCGTTAAAGTACAGTTTCTTATACGGATTGTCTTTCGTCGATTTAAGTACACCGTTGAATTCGGGTCGTTTCTTTTCATCACTTGAATCATACGGCGATTTCCGACCGGATATTCGGGCAAGAATGAGATCAAAGTCTTTAGTATGATCTTCAGCACCATCATATGAATACAAGCGATCGTATATTGATGGGCCATGATTGGCTTCGACTACGGCCTGTTCGATGGAAGAAGATAAAGAGCTTCCCGCCGCGGAAAGTACAGCGGCTTGTTTGTGAAACGTTTGTTCGCGCATACGGAAAAACGTCCTCGATAATTTTTCACGTCGGCTAACCATATAGCACAGATTCCGCACGCGCTCGAGATCTTGACGTAATTGCACGAACATTTTCATCTTTTCAATGTCCGCTTGTTCTTGCTTGTGCGAGAGCATGTCAACATCGTCTGATTTGGGCGGCAAGAGCGGTTTGTTGAATTCCGCTTTTCGTTTGAGCTTCCAGTAGTTATAAATATATTGCAGCGCCTCAACATCTACATCAACTTGCATAACGACATCCTTTATGGTTACGTGTTTGTCGAATTCTGCTTCGATTTCGTGAAGTCGTGCCGCTCTTGCCTGATTTTTCTCTTCCGATGTCATATCTTTACGTTTTTTTCGTTTACTCTCGTCGTCGTCGGAAGTCCCTGCAGTTGCTGCTAAACACTTTTCTTTTTTGGTCGTTTTACTATGTTTTTCACAGTACGATCGCAACTTAACTCCGTCGTCCGCGTTCTCGTCCTCGATAATCGCACGCATTTCAAGTCCGTGTTTGAACGCGCAAGTAACGTGATAGGCAGTTTTGCACGTTTTCACTGAACACTGGATGCACGCACCCACGCGTTCACGACATAGTACGCAAATCAAAGCCCAACGACTGGCCGGGATGCTCGATATTTTAGTAATAGGTTCCATTTTTTCGACACAGCCAATACTGACTTCTGGTATCCAAAGCGCGCAAGAAACGTGCGCCCACTTTTGACCCGATCGTGTTGCTTTCATGGCACCTCCTTTCGTCGGACAAAGAACACAGTCGGGTCGCGAACCAGTCGCACATGTGCCACACAACCACTGACCTTCTGGGATACTCGTAATGCCGTAACAGGCTTGATGTACGCAGATATTGCAGCTGTCACAAAAAACCATTTCATTGCCGTCTTCAGAGTCAGGCGAACGACAGACGTCACAGATAACATTTTCATCATATTCGATTCCGAGACCTTCTTCGTTTCGTAAAATCGACTGAATTTTTTCCCAGCAGCAGGTTTCAAGCCGTTCAATAACCCTTTCCAGTTGTTCCTCGGTGATACGATTTAATCCAGCTGCTGCTCGCTCATTATTAAGAATCTTCAGCCAAGCCACGTCACATTCATCCAAATCGTAACAGCAGGCGGCTTCCGCTTTTGCGGGTGCATTAGAAAGCACATGCTCGTCGACTTTGAAGTTTTCGTCTTTTGTAATCCGGATGTATTTATTTTTAGGCCTAGAAATTAAATAATTTAGTCATCAATAAACAAAAGACCAAAGCTTGATGTTTCAAGGACTTTTATTTGTGATCGAAACGTAATCCTAGAAACTCCAAACTTATTTGATATATTGATCATATTATGAATTTAAAGAAACAAAATATAAGAGAACGGGTGTAGAAATAAACAATGTTTCTTCTTTTGGAAGAGCAAACTCACATTCTGAATTCATGATGCTGCTTGGTTGTGCTTGCACATTGAGTAACTGTTACAGATGGTTCGGGTAGCGAATCAGGATTGACAGGAACCTGGACACCCCGTTCCCATTCCTGCTTCCATTGGTCGACTATAACCCAATACTCGTCGGACGCGAGCGGCTCTGAGTCGGGCAACTTCATGGCACTTATTAAGTCCTTACGAAACAGTTCTGCAGGAACTTCTGTTACCGTTCGGTTGTAGATGCCCTTCAAGTCATTAAAAGGCCGCGGCTGCCACGCCGCAGCAGCCGCCAAGGAGGCCGCTTCTTCTTCTTCCGCCGTCGGCCGCTACAAATAAATTATATTGATTTTTCATTTCTATTACCTATAGGTGCAGGAATTAATATAATGAATGGCGTTATTTTATTTTACAGATTTTTAAGACTTTTAAAAATTAAAATCATACCTAATTTAATTAAAAAAAAAAAATTATAAAGCATTCAAAACTCAGCAGTAACAGACGTATATGGAAAAAAATTATGTATACATTATTTACTGGTTTTCTTCGAATGCACGTTTAAAATTCAATTATTTAATTTTTTTAGTATGCATGTAATCCAAAGACATTGTTCTTTTGAATAACATGCACAAATTGTAATCAAATCCATATCTTTTTAGCTAATAAATAAGAAAACAGTAAATACTCTATATATTCTACTTTAGTTTAATTAATAAAAACGGTAAAAAACTGTAAACCATTTTCAATAGTAATTAATGAAGAATAATTTACATGTCAGTAAAAATGTACAGCTTTACATCTTTTCAATAATTTGAGACATTTAAATTATTGATAAATAAGGTAAATATGAATCAGATTCTGATAACTGCTATGTGCAATCTTTTTATAATTTTGATAGCATTTGACAATGTAAATTGTTTTTTAAAAGACAAAATTAACTTCTCTAAACATTTTCATGTTAAATAGTATTTTTACACTTTCACCTTTATAAGAAGTTTAAAGTATTACTTACGTTCATCAATAAATCTTATTACTGATATATAAAAACCTCTTCTTATTCGATTTTGAACTATAAATTTTAACTTCAACTTCTGCTGTTTAAAGCACAATATATTACTGAAGGATGTAAAAGTGATAATAAATGTTCAAATTCTGTTAGGTAGTATCGTTTAAACTTCTTAAAATTAATATCTACTCCTGCTAAATCTTCAATTTTAGTTTTTTGTACTAAAGTCATATCCGTAAATTCAACCAATTTTCTAGTACAATAAAACTATAAAACATAATTTACATGAATTATTGAAAAAAGGATATTAGACTTGTAGTTGTATACCACTAATATGTCCCATTTGTTTTTAAATAATGATAAGTACCATACAGGAAGGAAAATAAATTTACCTTCCGACGTTTAGCAGGAACAGCACCATCTTCAGAACGGTTAGGCCGTTTACCTCGATAGGACATTGCACTTAAATAGTGCAGGGAGTACACTGGACTGCACAGCCTAAAAGCAATAAGTTAATGTATAAAACCTTTGTTCAATATTACTACATCGCTTTATCAAAAATCTTAACCTAACATTTACTTGAAAATGAAAATTGTTATTTTTGAAATTCTATTAAATACATTACAAATAGAAGAAATTAAAAAGCATAGCTAGAAATGTAGATAAATACTTACTACATGATTTAGTTTAACTGATCAAAATATACATTGAAGGTACTGAATCTTTGCTGCAGTTTTAATGCTTCCTAGTTGAACTTCAACTTAAGTTATAAACAGGTATCCAGACTTTTTCATTGTGTTAGTTTTCTCAGCTGGTATTCTCAAACCTTATATTTTGAAAAATTAAAAAGTTTAAGTAGATTTCCAAATTGCCCTTGGCTACACCATTCATTTACAACATTGGGACAACATTCCTGGTGGGAGGAATTACTTTCCAGTACTTCTTTTATTTCAGAATTACAATTTCTGCACTTGTTTTTAACAAAAAACCATTGTGTATAATATTTTAGCCACTAGTGACAAACAGCATAAGTAGAGGTGGCTCCCATGTCTACATTGTAAACATTTGCAATTGCCGCTCTTTTCGAGTCTGAAGCACTTCTTTTAACACTATATTAACAGAAACAGCATGTAAATTTGTTGGAAAATTACCATTTCGTACGCTGATTTTCATCGATCACACCAGTTTTTACTAATTTGTGATTAAATCGACTCCATTAGACTCCATTTGGTATTCTTAACATTGACAACATAGATGGCGCTTTTTGATCGTCAAACGTCGACAGATGTTTAGAACCCGAAGTTCTTTTTTTATTTTTGGACAAAATAAAAGACCTTCTTCA